TTCAGTATGAGATTGTACGTCTCGCTGGACGCACGCGTTGCGAATGGCGCCAGTTTTATCTAAATATCAATAAATCGGTATATATAGCCTTGGCTCTTTTTATAAATGAGGGGTGAGTAATTAAGGGTGACAAATGAGCACAGTGCATCTGATGGTAAGTGGACACTGTGGCCAATAGACACCCACATTTATCAATAATACAACCAATTAATTAATAATTACAACCATAATATAGTACTTATAAGCTGCAGCATAGCTCTGTCACGCAATTTTTAGTCTATCAAAGAAAATTAAATATGACTGACTTCGCTTGTCATAATTTAATATAACCAATTTATTCTGTGATATAACTTAACTAACTAGTGCTTTGTTACTATAATTTAACTAGTGTTACAAATAGCCGGGATAATTTTCTAATGATGATTTTTAATAAATTTAATTACTAAAATTTGTATTTTTGTTTAATTATTTAGTTAATGACATTTTATTTATATTCCAGCAATTTTGATACTATTGGAATATTTTCTTTCCCATACTATATTATAAGTTATGATAAGTTATGTAACAAATCCCAGTAATGTTACTTGTAAGTTACAGCGCTTAAATAACGTTCTTTCTGCGGTTCTGACTTGTACTCATACGTGTGCTCGGCGCGAAAGTCGCAACGAACTGATTGAAATTGCCCCCATTGCCCCATTGCAAGTAAAGGCGGCTACTGACATGCCTGCCGCAGGGGAAATCTAAGGTGTAGGAGTGGGGATGACCATTAATTGCCTCCTTAATTGTGATGCGTGTAGACAAGCAAGGGCAATTTTTTAAGTCAGCCCTGCGGCAGGGTGGCAGGAGCGCAAGACCTTCCTTGCTCCCTAGATCGGCCCTGCCGCTGTCGCGTGTGTAGCATAGAGGTGTTCAAAACGACTATAAATCAATAGCGCGCTACAGACTATAAACTATAAATTTATTGCACGCTATCAAATACGCTATGTAATAGCGCGCTATTTATAAGGAAGCGCGGGGCGGCCGGCAGGCGCTTTAAGTCTTGCAGCACGCTAAATCTCGTAGCACGTTACATTACATTTTGTGCGTTGTATATAACTTGTGCTATATAAAAATATAATTTATTAATACGTAAAGCAGTAAAAAAAACCAATGAACTCTCCTCCATACTTTTCAGGCTTGTGACTGTCTACAATTGATGTAAACGTTATTTTAACAATAATGGTAATTATGAATCAATTATAGGTGTATTTATTAGTTCATTGGTTTTATATACGAAAATCAACTCTTTACACACATATAATCATAATTCTTAATTACAGTCACGTAATCGTTTCAAAATAGAATCGTTTTAAAACAATCATTTATTCTAATATTTACATGTCATACCCTAACTTATTTTCACACACAGAATCACAGTCACATAATAGCGTCTTTTAATTTGTTTTCAAACAGTCTTCTAATCTATTATTAATATACAGTATGCACTAAATAACCAACGTCTGACACTAAACTAGTTCGCACGCGTGATGAATAGCGTGCTGCTAGATTTGAAATTTGCGTAACACGTCCGCTCACAACAGCGTGCACGCGAAACTAGCAGGGTAGCAGGCAGCCGGGCGCTAGCGCCGCGCTAGAAATAGTTTCCGCGCTGGCCGACGCCGAGCGCTATCGCGCGATATTCATATTTCATAGCGCAATAGCGCCATAGCGCCTACTTACATAGCACGCTCTGTACCTGTACGCTATAGAAAGACGCGTCGAGCGCGCTATAATATGTCGCTATGCGCTATATTAACCACCACTAGTGTAGCACAATTCGGGCAATTTCAATCAGTTCGTTGCGACTTTCGCGCGGAGCACACGTATGCGTAAAAATCACAATGGATACAATAAATATTGTAAAATTTCGACACTGGTGATAGAAGTGTATAAAGAGCGGCTTCTTCACCCAGTATCTCCTTTTTGTCCTTTTTTGCGGTAGCACCCCAGAAATAAGGTGATTTGAACGTTGTAACTTACAAGTAACATTACTGGGATTTGTTACCTAACTTATCATAAGGGCCCATATGGGAAAGAAAATATTCCAATAGTTTTAAAATTGCTGGAATATAAATAAAATGTCATTAACTAAATAATTAAGCAAAAATACAAATTACAGTAATTAAATTTATTAAAACTCATCATTAAAAAACTATCCTGGCTATTTAATTGTCTTTGATAGCCTAAAAATAGCGTGGCAGAGCTATGCTGCAGCTTATAAGACACTATATTATGGTTGTAGGTAATTATTAATTAATTGGTTGTATTATTGATAAATGTGGGTGTCTATTGGCCACAGTGTCCACTTACCATCAGGTGGACTGTGATCATTTGTCACCCTTATTCTATATAAAAAAGAGCCAAGGCTATATATACCGATATATTGATATTTCTATAAAACTGGCGCCATTCTTAACGCGTGTGTCCAGCGAGAAGTACACTATCATACTGAACGGCAGGCGTGTGTGTAGAAACAGTTCCGATATTGTCCCGATTGCTGTGTTCCCTAGATTGCCCCTGCGGCGGGCATGTCAGTAGCCGCCTTAATATGATGCTTACGCATGATAAAAACGAAGATCAAGAATGAAATGAAGATATGGCTTAAAAAACAATCATCCAAGCCAATAATTTTTAAAAGTAAAGAATTGTTTTTTGCTGTGACTATTTTGGCTTGCTACATATTTATTTATCTATGGCTTTGACTTTGATTTGATTTGATTTTGATTGCTTGCTTGTATTGATATGATCGGGAGAAATTGTACACCTACGATAAATCTGCATGCACAAATGACCTGTTTTTTCTTCGGGTGTTGTATTTCTTACTTCTTGTAATACAGTGATCCCATCAAAAGTGGTTTTAATGACATTATCGTTATGGTTAATTGATTGTAAGTTGGCGAAGACATTGTCACCTTCATTTATATCTTATATTTTATTTGTGTTTTCAAAACATTATTCATCCAAAAATTACAATTGAAACTACATTAATGTTCAAGCTCGAGTGTATTTCAGCGCTGGATTTTAACAATATTTTATTTTTAAGTTAATGTCATAAAAGAGAAAGGTACATTACAAATGTAACCTACATTTATATTTTACTTTGTTATAAAATTGCACCTTTTATTTGTCTACCTGTGTTTGTGAAAATTTAACATTTTATTTTACTTACTTTATTTTTAATTATATGTATAAAAGTTATATAGCCTTTATATGTCCCACTGCAGGACACAGGCCCCTCATTTATTACTATTGTTTTAGGAAATAAGATTTATTGGCTATATAGAAATATTACTTTTACCTGTTTGGTTCTTAATTTATTTAAAAAAATTGTTTTACATGTCTGTTGTAAGTTTGCAGATTGTCCTGAATGTGTCATGTAATATCTTTGTTATATATGACTCATTTTGTTTTATTTGGAGTAGGCATATTAGGCTAATTTTTAAGTAATCATATTGAATTGAAGAAGAAGGAAATTTTCAAGTCAAGCGAAACCTCTCATTAGGTAGAGAGTAGTGTCACATAGTAATGTTTGTTGCAGCATGTCCTTAAAGGGGTGTTGCAAGCTGAAATCATCACACATTTGACTTTAGTTTTTGACTTGATTATGGTTTGACTAATATGAAATAAATCGATTATGGAGGCAAAGTAGCAATTCCCACACATAATAGTGTTCTACTTACATCTCTAGTGTTTACTGTGTCTTCAGTGATCACATTACATTTTGCATTTATCTGATCACATGAAAAACCAAATTAATACTATTGCCAAAAGAATAGATATTTTAATTTTTTCCACTACATTTGTACTAAATAAAAGTAATGAAATCAGTGTTTGGTATAGTTTTAAAAAGATCAGGCATAATTTCAGTTTAAATAATTTTGTTTCTTGTTTATTTTTGTTAGATACAAAAACAATATTTAAAAACTAACTATATATTGTATAAAATATCAAACTGGTCCATCTTCCAGCCCATCTCCACTTTGCAGAGCTAATTTTTATTATAAATATATCTAAACAAAAGTAAAAACCTCACCAAGATGAGATACAGTTTAACTGATGAGGAGCATTATAACTACTGTAGTGTATAGAATCAATGTGTATATATTTGGTGGTTTAAGTGTGCCACAATTAAGTCCGACCAAGAGCCTAAAGTTGGTAAAAATTACGTTGCGTACATCCGCTCGATAAAATAAAATGATGTGTCTCACCTAGTTTAAAGAGCACCTCCCGCCCTCCCTCAATTGCGTGCTTTATTCCCGTCACCACTAATCCCAGCACCACTACTCCCAACACCACTACACTTTGAAAGAGACACCACTGACGACAATATGACACATGTTTCGCCTCTACATTAAGCATCTTCACGTGATGTAGACTCTGCAGTGGCTGACTGTTAAGCGGGCACGCTTCACATAGCCTTAGCTGAAGAGACCTTGTGTAGAGGCAAAACACGTGTTGTATTGTCGTATTTTTACCAACTTTAATATAATGGATTTCCACAAAGTAACACCTGATTCTATTAATTACAGTCAAATATGCAATGTCTTATAACAGCTAAAATAAAACACCTATGTATATTATACTAATTTATTATGTTTTAGAAATCTTAAATTGAACGTTTTTCACCTTTATTGCTACATTAATTCAGTATTTTAAAAAAAAACTCATATTATAATAAGTTTTTCTCTTACAATTTTTATTTTATCTATCATGCAGGCATGATAGATAAAATAAAATTTATTTTATTATATTACAGCATTAATTGCACAGACCTTTACATTAATCCAATGTACCAAAATTTACTTATAATATAAAAAGGTATTAACAGATTTGTATGTTTCAGGGGGATTTTATGGTTGAACTGGAATAAAGGTAAACAAACTTTTATGTATTGTCATATCTATTAAAAAGTTGGAAAATCCTTTTTAAATATTCATGTTTTTATTTATAATATATTTTAGATGGCAGAAGTAGACCCTGAAACATTGTTGGAATGGTTGCTTACGGGGCAGGGTGATGAGCGGGATATGCAACTTATTGCATTAGAACAACTTTGTATGCTCCTGCTTATGTCCGACAATGTGGACAGATGCTTCGAAAGGTAAGTGGTTAAGACTGCTTAAGTTCCGATTGTAGTGGATGTATTGAATTAAAATTGAAGTAAGATATCTACTAACCACAGTGATATTTCTATGATTTGAATATTTTACGAAAGTGCATGCATGTGGAAGTTTATCGTCCAAATTGGTGATATTTTGTAGATAGGGTAAATTAAAGTACCCTTATAACTGACAAGCATGTATGTGTAGAGATATATTGATATGAGAGTGGTATCTCAGGATTGTGGCAAATGCAAGTGTATAATGGTTTCTGCCTACTATAGGCGTGAGAGTTTGTCATGTTATGTTTAAAAAATAATTATAACCATCAGTGAAATTAAAAGTAGTGGTGGGTATGTGATAATTTGTTGTTGATGGTGATTGACTTTCTAAAATTAGTATGCAATTAGATAATGACTGACACTTTCATTACAATTTTGTTTTTCAAATATGTTCCAGTTGTCCTCCCCGTACATTCTTACCAGCACTTTGTAAAATATTTCTCGATGAATGTGCACCAGATAATGTTTTGGAAGTGACAGCCAGGGCTATTACATATTATCTAGATGTGTCAGGTTAGTCCTATTTTATATATTTAACATTTTTTTTGTTAATGCCTTATTTAACAGTAATGAAAACATTCATAATTGCAGCTGAATGTACTAGACGTATTGTAGCAATAGAAGGTGCTATTAAAGCTATTTGCAGCAGGTTACTGACTGTAGATCCTAATAACCGAACAAGCAAAGATCTTGCTGAGCAGTGTATTAAGGTAAGTTAATTAATAATCTTTATATAGTACAATTTGCCCTTATAGTTTTTCACTGTTTATAAATGTCTCACCCTTACATATAAATTTATAAAGAATAAACTAGATTTTAAAAGAAAATGCTGAGGATATTAGAAGATTCCGTAATAATAATGGAATAATGTATTTTTGTAGGTACTAGAATTAGTATGCACTCGAGAAGCTGGTGCAGTTTGGGAAGGTGGTGGTCTGCCAGCTGTGCTCCACTTTATTACACACTATGGGATGTCTGTGCACAAAGATACTCTACATTCAGCTATGGCTGTAGTCTCAAGGTTAGTTTTGATTACTTTTTATGTGGTATTGGTGAGATATGTATAATATGATCTTTGAACCATGTAGGTACTCATAAAGCATGGTAATCATAAAGGCTGTTTATAAAAGAAACAATATCCAAAAAAGTAGCATTTCCTACTATTATAAGAGTGAAAGTATGTATAGATGTTTAGAATTTCATTACTGAATTTATTTTGACAACATTTGGAACTTTGAACAAAATATATATGTTCTATGTTTTGTAAAAAAGTTTGATTCTATTCTTTTCTTTTAAATACTAATAATCTTATAAGAAATAAGAAGTGTATTGCAGCTGAGACTTTGCAACTTTTACTATCATTTCCTTTGTTTTCAATATTCCATGCATGTGAACCAAACAGTTTACTTTGTCTTTTGTAATGCACACAGCAATAGTAAAATTGAATAATTTGCTGGCGTGTGTCTTTCCGTCTAATTAAAATATGAAAGTCTTCAAGCCTAGAGTGAATAGACTTTATTTAGCGATATGTCATCTATATTTTTATCAGCACCTAACACCAGGTGGTAGTCAAGCCCAGTGGTTGACTACAATAACACTTTCACTTATAATAAGTTGAAAAATGTTTAAATAATTTTAGTAATCAGTTATAAAAAAAAATGTCACGGAATCACGGGTTCCGTTATACATATACAACAGACACAACTATTTTGAATATTGTGCATAATTGTCGTGGTATGAAAGATGTGTGCAAGTTAAGTGTCTTCTTGGCTTCAGCTATATAAAGATAATTTTTTTTTACATTGTGTAGAGGTTTGAAACTATGTAAAATATAATATATTAAAATTAATACACCTAACTACTTAAAATATTAATAAACATTTGCGATTGCCATCCCGCCTGTCAAGCGTAGCAACTATGGCAAAATTCCCCTATGTGGCAATCTATGTTTTAATCAGAGGTTTTTTCCGAACCAGTGGTAATCAAACAAAAGAGTGACTTTCAATAAGTATTATTTATAATCTATATTGAATAAAAAAGTTTCTGTTTCTGTTTCTATGGAGGGCTATGTTCTGACATGGACTTTTACTTTTTTTAGGCTGTAATGGATGGTGTAGGTATGAAAATGTTACCTCACTCCTGAAAATGTATAAACAACATCCTGTCTCGAAGGGCATTGTGCCATGATAAAAATAAAAATGTTATCAACATGAATTAAAAAATAATAAGAAAACTTATATTAAATGTAAAGGACATTTAATATAAGTTTTACACAGTTTCATTAAGTAATTTTTGTTAGCAAGTTACATGTTTAAATAGCAATTTAGAGTCATTTTTATGGATTCTTACATCAATTTAATTATTATGATAATTGTGTCTGTCTTTACACAACCCTTGCCTGAATGTTCAATTTTTATAAAATTATTTTGTTTTTGTACAATAATCACATTTGAGTAGATTTACAGAGGTTCGAAAAATTAAAAGTTACTACAATGTCGCTATAAAGCAACGAAACTTGCTGCAATTGCGCAAAAAGGCACATCACTCCAAAAAGTTCAAGCCGTCGCATCCATTACACCCTATAAGTCCACTTCTCAACATAAGTCTCCTCCATAGAAATTTACCATAGCACTTGTTTAGTTTTGCAAAACAAAATTTTAGGCATAATTTTAAATTTCTTGATCATTCCGTTAACTCATTTACTTCCCGTCGTATAATCGAGATATGAATTTTTAATGTGATCTGCACGTAAACTTTAAGTAATGTATCTAGGGCAGGATATTTATATATGTTTGATTCTTTTTTTTAATAATATAAGTAGCATAGGTGTGACAAATGAGCCCATGGAGATCTTGTATGTTTGACACCTTTTATAAAAATTAGCTTATAATATAAAAGGACACAGACGTAGCGTCACCCTTGAATGCTAATATGAAATACCTTGTAGTCTGTAAAAATATAATTGTAGCTTATGAGAACGAAAATTTTCTGTAGAAATTAAATGTGAATATGAGTAAATTATGTTTTAATTTCTAGAAGTCAAATAAACTCAAACATAGCGAATTAAAATAATATATTATGTAGTAATTTATTAATGAGTGTCCATTGCCCAATATGTTAATGTGCAGTAAAAGCTACCTAAGCATAAAAATAATATGAAAGTGAAGTTTAAATGCATTAATAGCATAAATAATAACTTTATTGTTAAAGGGTTTGCGGAAAAATGGAACCAGGTGATGAACGTGTGGGTGACGCTGTATCATCACTCTCGACTTTACTGCGGCACAGCGACGCACGAGTTGCAGATGCTGCCTTACGGTGCTTTGCATCTCTTGCTGATAGATTTGCGCGTGCACATGCTGATCCCGCACCACTTGCAGAACATGGTAATGTATATTGACAAGTTTATAAACAGCTTGTTCAGCTTCGCGTACACACTGTACACGCATACACACCGTACCCGCGTACCTGGGCGGTACTTACCGCCCAGAACATCAATTGACACGTACTAAGCAGTCAGAGGCGGGGGCACGCACAACCCCACTCGGACTGCGGTTAGATAGTTCAATAAACCCCATTCATAAACCATCATCATCCTCATCCTCATCCTAATTGCCGCCTATCAACTTTTTAAATAGCCTGAAAGGCCGCGTGCCCTATGTCAGATAAAGCTGTGTCAGGAAGCCACATAGGCTCACAGCGCCAACATCTCGAAAATAGATAGAAACATCTTATCTTTATATATAAAAATTACGTGTCACGTTGTTTGTCCGCGATGGACTCCTAAACTACGGAACTGATTTCAATGAAATTTTGATCCAACTTGAGAGATAGGATAGTTTTTATCCCGATAAATGACCCTCATAATTTTTTATTGCGAATTTAAGGATTTTTATAGGAAGGGTCGTTGGAAAGGGCAGGACAACGTCTGCCTGGCGAACTAGTTTAATTATAAATATTTTTCAGTTATACAGATTTGTACAATATCTGGAAAATTGATTACAATAAATTCCTTAAAACTCCTTCTTTTTTGTATGATGTACATGATCGTCATCATCATTACAGCTTATCAAAGTACACTGCTGAACATAGCCCTCCACATAGATTGTCTCATAAGGTGAATATTTGCCATGTTGCCATGCGTGGCAGGCTTGTAGGTAATCGTGTTTTTTGCTGTGGAAGACTGCTGACCATCTCCAGTTTCATTTCCCTCTATCGCCTCTTACGACACCTATAGATGACACCATGATATGGGGTAGAGGATATTCTGACACTACCACTACATGGTCTATGATGACGAGGACAATAAATATATATATTCTAATTTTAAAGGTTTTTACTATTCTATTTTAGTTGATAGAAGTAACTATATTTAGTGTTAATAATTTAAATGGCTGTGTTTGTAATGGAAACTGAAGTTGCATTGGACAGCCCGTATAGCTCCAAGAACTGACAAAAAATGGGAAGAAAAAGGTTATCAAGAGCAACCTCATACCATTAAGTGCACGGCAGGGTCCACTATAGTGCCGACCTGGTCAGAAATGCATGAATTTGATGGTTGCAAATGCCTCAAGACCATGCTTTGTGGCATTCCTTGAGGGAGGTGCTGTAATGATGATAATGATTTGTTCAAATAGATATGTTTTCATCCTTTTATTTACGGTTATTTCTTCCAAAAAATATAATATAGTAATATATAATAAAGTTGTAAAAATTATAATCTTTTTTTTTCAATTATTCAGGTCTTATTGAGGAGTTGGTAAGAAGACTTGGTAGCACTGAGAATAGTGACGACAAGTGCCTGGTGCCTTCTGTTTCTACAACAGTCAGCCTTCTATCTACTCTCTGTCGTGGTTCCGCACAGATAACTCATGTAAGATTTTAACTATTGAGTTTGAGTAAGTGAAACAATTGCCTTATCTCAGATTGTAGTCATTATTAAGGTATCTAATTAAATTCTATATATATCTAGACTGAATATTAGCTTTTTGTGTAGTTCTAGACCACCTTGGGAATTACATTCAAAGGTTTAGACTGTCCTCCGTGTAGTGGCGGGTAAGAATACCCATTATCCCATATTTTCCCTTGGGAGTCGTAAAAGGCGACAGAGGGAAACTGAGGCAGAAGATGGGCAGCAACATCTTTCAGATAACAGCAAAATAACAATAAAAAAACTGGGGGTGCCAACCCGCTTGCCAAGCGTGGCAACTATGGCAATATACCCATAATGAAAGTTACGAAGAAACAGCCCCCAGTCCCCGGCGGCCCAGCTATTCCTGGCTACAGTGGCGATCATAGTAACGGGGTGGTAAGAATCTCCGGTGGAGGTTCGGTTGCCACCTAAGAAGACTCGACCTGGCAACATATAACGCACGCACGCTGAAGACTGACGAGAAGATCTTGGAGCTGGAAGAAGAGATGGACAAGTTGCACTGGAATATTATAGGATTATCCGAGGTCCGCAGAGAGAGGGAAGACATGGTAATCCTCGAATCCGGCAACTTGTTCTATCACCGGGAGTGAGAGCGACCATCTGTCCCAAGGAGGTGTAGGATTTATAGTCCGCAAGTTTCTCGCTAACAACGTTGTAAAGATTGAGAGTGAAGTGAAAAGTAACTTTATTTTGGAAAAAGAATTAGGGTTCCGCGCAACATAATTAAAACCCTAAATTACACGCGGGCGAAGTCGCGGGGAACAGCTAGTCTAATATATAAATATAATTTCTTGTTTGGTCGTATTTTATGCGCTGCCATACCGTTCATCAGATTGCGGTAAACATCTGTCAACTTATTGATTGCACTTGCGCGAAGGTTTTAGGCATAGTACAATTGACTTACAGTAGGTGGCGCGCGTATGTTAGTGACACATTTATTTGAAAGATATATGTATATCATTGAATTTCAATGAATGTATTGTCATTCCTATTTAAATAATATAACTCTTTCAAGTTTAAAACGATATTTCTACAATTATTTCTTCTGCGGCAGCAACGCGCTGGGTACCAGCTAGTAACTTATGTAATATAGTCATCAATACACAATATCTAAATGTGTTAGAACCACACTGCAGCTTTATTTCGGTTGCAGCATGAATGGGTCGGTTCGACCGAGGAAGAACCAGCGTAAAATAGCAGCTCAGTTCTGCAGGGTTTCGAATGTTCGAGTGTAGAGAACCGAAGACCCTTTTTAACTGGTTTTTATACGTGGTAGAGCCATGTTGCAGCTATATTAGAAGTATAGTTGTAGCACGAATGGGTCGATTCGGTCGGGGAAGGACCATGTTCTCACAGAATACTAGCGTAAAATAGTAGCTTAACACTGCTATGTTTCGTACGGTGAGTGTAGAGAACCGGATACCCTTTTTACTGGAAAAGAGGTAATCCATCTTAGTCCTCATGGCTGACAACGCATCTGAATTTTGATTCGCAAACGAGGATCATTGTAGATGTCTATGGGTCACAGCAATCACTTACCATCAGGTGGACTGTGTGCTCGTTTGTCACCCTATCGTATAAAAAAAACATTGGGCGCGACTTTAGTTTGCTACGAACTCGTGGAGTGATCAGACGTACCTGATTTAAATTTTATATTCACGCATCGTAACTAGTGCTAACTATCCTAAAAAAAAACCAATCCACTCCATCTTAATGCTCAGACGTGACAACTTATTCACAATTAAAACTTGCGAACCTGGCCAATTAAGTAAAACATCTCGTTTGAACGGCTTGTCGAAGTGTAAATCGGTCTCAATTCTCTAAAAAAAAAACTTCTAGGTGGTAGGGATCCTTTTCTGTCTAGGAGTCCACCTGGATAGGTACCACCCTCATACTTATTTCTGTCACCAAATAGCAGTGCTTGCACAGCAATGTTCTAGTCTGAGGGGTATACAGAGCCAGTATAATTACATGATGTAAGCGTTTTGTATTAGTTCTTAGAAGTGACAATGTATCTGTGGCTTTCTTTGTTTGAAATGGGCTACATATGCACACTAGACTTACCATCTGGACTGGAGTAGCACTTACCATCAGGTGGACTACTGTAAGTTCGTAGCTCGTCTATCTTTATATATAAAAATTACGTGTCACGTTGTTTGTCCGCGATGGACTCCTAAACTACTGAACTGATTTCAATGAAATTTTGCACACTGTGTGCATTTTGGTCCAACTTGAGAGATAGGATAGTTTTTATCCCGATAAATGACCCTCAAAATTTTTTATTGCGAATTTAAGGATTTTTATAGGAAGGGTCGTTGGAAAGGGCAGAACGTCTGCCTGGCGAGCTAGTAATATATAAATATTTGAAATATTAACAATACGTAAATAAATTATTTGAAGGAAAATGTTTCACACCTGTTCTACCTGTGTAAAGTAGTATCTGGTAGAATACTTCTTGAAAGCTTTTATTGACATACATTTTTCTTTTGATTGTAAGTGGATTTTGTTTTTTGTTTTAGGACTTAGTTCGTTTAGATCTTTGTACTGCCATTGAAAAAGCTGTGCAAGCTGACGAGCGTTGGTGCCTAGAGTGCATGCGTCTCGTGGATTTGCTGCTTGTCCTTCTGTGTGAAGGAAGGCACGCGATACAAACGTATGTATTTAATTGTTTATTTCCCGTACTCGCTTAATAATTCGTGCATATATTTTAACTCTTTGGGAGCTTTCTTATTGTTTTGTGAATTAGGTTAAGTCAGTCTTACATAAAATTTTATATTTTTAATTGCTGCAGTAAAAAGTGTGACGTAAAAAGTCCACAACACCATGTCGCCCCATGGGTGTCCTATGATCGACAGAAGGAATAGAATAGAATGATTTTATAGTCAATATTAATTATTATATAATACTTTTGAAAGTAATTTTTTTTTATTAACCACTGGTTCGGAAAATACCTCTGTCCTGGTATATGAAACAAGAGGTGGGCAGCAGCTTCTTTCTGATAAAAATTCATTTCTGGTATCCTATGAATAAATAAATTTAATATCACAAATTGATAAATAACTTTGTTCGCCAACCTGCCTGCCAAACGTGACGACTATGGCAAATATCCCTATAAGGCAATCTATGGGAGAACCCTATGTTCTGCAGTAGACTATTGAAAGTTAATGAATGAATGAACTTACGTAAAATATTTCTTATTATTTCTCAAGATCAAGTCGCACCGGCAACTCTGTTACGGGTTCAAGTAGCGGGGCAAGCGGCGAGGGCTCGAGCGGCGGAAGTGGAACTCGAGGAGACAAATCGCACCGGCAGCTTATTGACTGCATTCGCGGAAAAGACACGGACGCCTTGCTGGCGGCGGTGTCCAGCGGGGCCGTTGACGTCAACTTCACCGATGACGTTGGACAGACGTTGCTTAACTGGGCGGCTGCTTTCGGCACACGCGAAATGGTCGAGTTTCTGTGTGAGAAAGGTAAGCTAATAAAATATGAAAGTTTTTGTAACTGCCGTCAATACTTCAACTATGATTTAAGTAATTGATATATATGTATATATTATGTTTGTTTAAGTATATATATTTTAACCCTTTCTACTTTGATTACTGCTACACCGCCTCTTGTATGTCTATCTCTTTTTGCCCTAATTGTTGACTGGGAGAGAATGCCCTATGGCATTAAGTCCACCATGTGTACAACTTTGTGCATGAAAGTTTAAATAAAAAAAATACGATAATAAATAGAATCAGACGTTTTTGCGGAAATCCATTATATTAAACTTGATAAAAGTTACCTTGCCCATATCAGCTCAATAAAATAAAATGATGTGTCTTACAAAGTAATTTTTACCAACTTTAATTCATTTTACCTCAATCAATCGTCGCTGCTTTGTGTTTTATTAAGGTGCGGACGTAAACCGCGGCCAGCGCAGTTCTTCGTTGCACTACGCTGCGTGCTTCGGTCGCCCTGCTATTGCAAAGGTGTTGCTTCGCTACGGCGCCAACGCTGATCTTCGTGATGAAGACGGGAAAACCCCCCTTGATAAAGCGAGGGAACGGCATGATCAAGGTACTATCTCTCGAAAGTATTATGTTGGTTGGAATGGTTTGTCCCTGTTTTTGATTAAAACTACACTAAGAAAATTTACAGTGAACCACTATTTTTATGTATTTATATTTTTTATGGTCAACTGCAGGCCACAGAGAAGTAGCAGCTATTCTGCAGTGTCCTGGCGAGTGGCTTGTCGTTAGTAATCATAACTCGCCGGCCTCTTCTAATGAAGACGACTTTCCAGAGACTGGCGATAAAGAGATGGCAGCAATTTATCTTGAGTAAGTTTTAGACAGTTTTGTGTTCTTCCAAAAAGTAGAGGTTTTTTCGCACTAGTAGTAAAAGTAAAAAAAAAAAATATTTTCATTCGGAATAATGATTGAGTCATTTTTTAATATTAATGTATTTTTTTATAAAACTGAAGTGACAACCAAATTTACAGTCCATCTGATCGTAAGTGGTTACTTCATTTCATCGACACCTGCACCCAACATCAAACAAATAACGCTAAAGCCCGCGCGTTCTGTCCTGGCCGGGCAAATCTTGGCCGAGCCGTAAAATGAAATTAGTCGCGAGTGGCTGTGCAGCTATAGTTTTTAGGAATAAAATGGTTACAAGAGGAGTGGGACGGTGGGTGGTAACTAAAGTTGGAGATGTGATAATATCCTATATATATATATATGTTGCCTACTAGTTACTTCCTTTGTAGTTCTAAAAATGATTATCTAATCTATTTATGAATTGGTTTACATTTTGGGCTGAGTTTTTTGGCAGCTTATTCCACTCTGTGACTACACGGTTACAAATGAAGTGCTTGTGAGAGTTGTTGTTTGAAAGGCTGGTACATTGCTTAAGATGGAGGCCCCTGAGGTGAGTGTTTTTATTACAAATAAACAATTTGTCAAACTCCTTAATGTCTTAATGCCCACTTAAGATCCTAAAGGTCTCATTTAAATATTTTCGGTCCCTGCGGTTTTTTAATATTCAAACGTTCTTCATAGGACTACCGTTTAAATAGCCTTGGTACCCATAGTAAAGCTACGCTGTACTTTTTTCTAAACTTCAATGTCCTTGATATAATTATAGTTCCGGACTTGAAATGCGTGTTCAAAGATTGGGCTATTGGCCTGATAAATGTCTCTAGTTTTTATTAGTCCTTTAGTTTTCTTGACAATTGTCGATGTATGCTCTTCTCACTTCAAGCTTCTGAAATTTTTACTCCCAGATCTGTTTGTACTTTAACATCTGTAAGTGATGTGCCGCCCAGTTTATAAGTACGACGAGGATTACGGCGTTCTATGTCTAATACTGTACATTTTGAAGCATTGAAATTTATGAGTCATTCCTTGGACCATATAGCTATTTTATTCAGATCATCGTGAAGGCGGTCGTAGTCAATTAGTGGAAAGGTGCTGACATTAAACTGTAGGCAATGGGGAAGGTCAAAAGTATAAATAATGTTCAATACTGGGTTCATAATGTAGTGTATTTCTATGTGATCACACTTAGTTTCACCAATTATTACTTGTAGGGTTCATCCACGCAAAAAAGACTCGATCCAAGCCAGTAGTTCGAGTGGTCTCGTAAGAACTTTATTGAAGGCCTTTTCGTAGTCAAGATAAATTACGTCAATAGGCTCTCTCGTCGAAGTATTTGATCAATGACGATAGGCATGATAATAAATTAGATATCGTCGAGCGATGTGGGCAAAAACTATGTTGATCTTTGGGGATAACTTTGTGGTTGGAGAGGAAGTATCCAATATGCTTGACTATAATTTTCTCCATAACCTTGCAGACCACACTGGTCAAGCTGATGGGTCTGTAATTGGATAGTTACAGTTTGCTACCTTTTTTAAATATGGTTGTCACCAACGCTGTTTTCCATAAGTCTGGTTAAATAGCGAGATAGGTTGCATTTCTTCAATATAGCTATATACTATTCGAGTGGGCCTGACGGAATCTCGCCAATTGTGCTGAGGACTTGCGCTCTAGAGTTGGCACCGGCTTTAACGCGTCTTTTCCGGTACATAGAAGACAGCATTCGTGCACCCGATCCCTAAAAAGGTAACCACTCTGATCCGTCCAACTACAGGCCTATCTCCATCACCTCCTTGTTCTCGAAAATAATGGTATCCATTATTAACTGTCAGCTCATGCCGTACCTTGAGGAGCACTAGCTGATTAGTGACCGCTAGTACGGTTTCCATCGGGGTCGCTTAGCTGGTGGTCTTGTTTACCTAACACATAGATGGGCGCAGGCGATTGAGTCCAAGGGGGAGGCATTGGCCGTTAGTTTGGACATTTCAAAGCCCTTCGATCGGGTCTGGCACAAAGCGCTTCTTTCGAAGCTTCCTTTCTATAGGCTTCCCGAGAAATTGTGCAATTTAATCAGCAGTTGTCTAGCTTAACGGAGCATCAAGGTCATAGTAGACGGTGCATGCTGCGATTACAAGCCTATTAACGCTGGTGTACCACAAGGCTGCGTGCTATCACCAACGCTGTTTCTGCTGCATATCAATGATATGTTGCAAACCGGTAACATTCATTGCTATGCGGATGACAGCACTGGTAACGCTCTATACACCGGCTGTGCCAATATTTCTCGGGAAAACGTAGCTGAGTATCGAAACAAACTTGTGTCTGAAGTGGAGTCTTTGCTGAACAAAGTCTCGGATTGGGGGCGACTATATCTAGTCTAGTTTAATCCTCAGAAAACACAAGTTTGCGCGTTTACTGCTAAAAAGAACCCCTTTGTCGTATCTCCTCAGTTTTAAGGCATTCCCCTCGTTGCCTCTCCCTCCACTACGTTTGCCTGTTTTGTCATCTCGGTATAAATCATATCCAGGTATTGTTATCATTGAGTCCGGTATATTTGGCTTAAGCCATGTTTAAAAATTGTTATCAGCGTACGTTTTATCGTATTTTGACTCTTAGTAGATCTAGTTTAGTTGTCACTGATTGTATATTTGTTACGCTTTAGTGGCATGATGCACGTGTTGTAATACCAAGGACACACGAGTAATTAAAATCACCAAGCCTTAATGCGCAATCAAAAATGCTATATCACTATACCGTTCTCTCATAGAAAGTACCAGAAGCTCATAAACGTGTTGCAGTAGAGAAATAATATGTGTAATACTGCTCGACAATTTTAGACAATGGCAGGAGGCGAGGCTTATCTACCCCACCAACATCCAAAATAGTGGCTCGCTTTGTTAAAAGCGTTTAATTTGTTACAATGTAAAGGTAATTAAATGTTATTTTAATTTTTGAAAATTATATCATCAAGATAGTTACAGTTACAAGCCCTTGGCGGTTACGACACTTCCTAATGTCGTCACTCCATCTAGTGTGGGGGACGCTCAACACTTCGCCTGCCGGTACGAGGCTGCCACTCGAGAACCTTTTTTCCCCATCGTTTGTAGGTTCTTCGAGCTATATGGCCGGCCTACTAATCCGTTGGGCTATGTCGGTCACTCTGGTTCTACTGCGGATATCCTCATTTCTGAGTTTATCACGCAGAGAAACTCCAAGAATAGCCCTCTCCATAGCTCGCTGAGCGACCTTGAGCTTCCTCATCCGGCCAGCAGTGAAGGACCACGTCTCAGTTCCGTATGTTATCACTGGCAACACGCACTGGTTGTACAGTCTCGTTTTCAAGTTTTGAGGTATACCTGACGAGAAGATGTGCCGTAATTTCCCGAACGCTGCCAAACCGAGTTGAATCCATCGATTGACCTCTCGGTCGAAGTTGGACTTACCTAGTCGGACTATTTGTCCCAGGCAAACATACTCGTCAACAACTTCGAGCTTAGTGCACAGTTAGTCAACTTGGCACCGCTGAAGGGACTGCAGCATCGCCCAAATTTCGACGGAATCAAAGGCTTTCTCATAGTCCACATACGCCAGACATAGTGGCAAATTGTACTCCTCTGACTTCTGTACAATTTGCTGAAGGGTATGTATGTTGTCTATGGTGCTAAAGCCTTTTCGGAAACCGGCTTGTTCGGGAGGCTGGAAGTCATCAAGCCTGCGCGCGAGACGATTCGTAATGACTCTCGAAAACAGCACGTAGATGCGGCTCAGAAGGGACATCGGTCTGTAGTTCTTCAAGAGAGCGTTGTCGCCTTTCTTGAAGAACAAGACTACCGCACTTCTGCTCCACGTCTCCGGTGTAATGCCACCATGGAGGACGGAATTAAATTGCTTCTGAAGGACTTCAAGTACCGGTTTTCCACCCGCTTTCAAAAGCTCCGCTGTAATTCCATCCTCACCTGGGGCCTTGCCGTTTTCAAGGTGCTGGAGAGCCATTCTAATTTCGCTCAGACTGACGTCCGGGATATCTTCGGAATAATGTCGGATAAGACTCGCTCTTGGATCGTTACTCACACTTGCGTGTGGCGCCAACGATGTCTTGTACAGCTGCCCATAGAACCTCTCAATCTCACTCAAAATCTCAGGTGCCCCGGAAACGATGCTGCCACACTCTGTCTTCAGCCTTGACAGTTGGCTCTTTCTGGCAGACAGATCTCTGGCAAAGACTTTGGAGCCTTGGTTCCGCCTTCCGATCGCTTCTTCAATACGAGCTGTATTGAAGTTGCGTAAGTCCCGCCGCATGCATTTGGAGATCTGTCTGTTCAGTTGCCTGTATGCTGTCAAATCTGTTGAAGAATGTAGCTTCATCTCCCGTCTAACAACCATGAGAATAAGAATGTGATCGGAGAGTTTTTGTGTTTTTCTGTGGCGGGTCTTGCAGAACTTAGCTCCGACCGCATGGGCAGTTTCCACGAGCTTGTCATTCATATCGTCCACATCATTGCAGTCTTCTAGGCACTGAAAACGGTTTTGTAACTCGAGCTGAAAGGTTTCGGGACTTTGGATTAGAGCACGAGGGGGACGGGGCTACATTAGACGAGATCTCTCCAACTGAATGTTTAGGTTTAGTATGCATCTAACCATTCGGTGATCGCTGCCGGTTTTCACCCTCGCGATCACTGAGACATCACTGAACAGTTGTCCTCTGGTCGTCATAATGAAGTCAATCTCATTTTTTATCGAACCGTCGGGGCTCGACCAGGTCCACTTCCTGTGGGGCCGCTTCTGGAAGAAAGAGTTCATCATAAAGAGTCCCTCTTTCTCCATGAAGTCGGCCAGCTGCTGGCCCCTTGGGTTCCGTTGCCCTATTCCAAATTTCCCTACTTTCAGCTCATTATTCTCTCTTGTGCCTAGTTTTGCATTGAAGTCTCCCATTAACACCGTATATTGGGTTTTGGAGGAATGCATGGCTCTACAGATATCCTCATACATTTCATCCACCTCCTCATCGGGGTGTGCCGAGGTTGGTGCGTAAACCTGTATGACCTTCAGTTAATACCGTTTGGTGATTCTGAGTATAAGGTACGCAACCCTCGTCGCCACACTCAATCTTTACAACGTTGTTAACGAGAGACTTGTGGACGATAAATCCGACACCTCCTTGGGACAGATGGTCGCCCTCCCGGTAATAGAGCTAGTTGCCGGATTCGAGGATTAACGTTTCCTCTCCCTCTCTTCGGACTTCGGATAATCCTATAATATGCCAGCGTAACTTGTCTATCTCTTCTTCCAGCTCCACAATCTTCTCGTCAGTCCTCAGGGTGCGTGCGTTGTATGTTGCCAGGTCGAGTCGTCGTAGTTGGCAACCGAAGCTCCACCGGATATTCTTAGCACCCCCTGCCCCGCCGTTACCATGGTCGCCACCGTAGCCAGGAATAGCGGGGCCGCCGGGGACTGTGGGGGCCGTCCTTTTATTGCTCTAATCATTGGGGGGTATTTGCCATAGTTGCCACGCTTGGCGAGCGGGTTGGCAACCGCAGTTTTTTTTATTGTACTTTTGCTGTTATCAGGAAGATGCCGCTGCCCATCTCCTGCCTGTTTCCCTTTGTCGCCTTTTACGACATCCACGGGAAGATATGGGGTAGTGGATATTCTTAACCGCCACTACACGGCGAATATTATAATAAAATCTTGTTGAATATTCAACTTTAATCTCTGTAACGTAGTCGGATTATTGGAGTATACCTTACTTTTAAGGTGTCCCCATAGAAAAATGTCTGCGGGTCTTAAATCAGGGCTCCTTGGGGGCCAGGAAATGTTACCACTCCGTGAAACAGTTTTGGTGGAAACATATCCCCTACCACGCGCATTCTCTCATTTGGAGTGTGATACGTGGCTCCATCCTGCTGAAACCAAGTGTTCCTATTGTAACCTCCCGATTCTTGCAATTTACGAGCCAAAAAATCCGTTAGCTTAACTATGTACCGCTCTGAATTTACGGTAGCTGTTCGAGCCTTGTCTTGAAAAAAAAAAACGGCCTGATGATACCCCATCTGGCGATTCCAGCCCAAACCGTAACCTTTGGTGAGTGAAGTGGCTTCTGGTGTTTTAGACGGGCATTATCTGCGACCCAATACCGGCAATGTTGCTTATTCACCAAACCGTGTATATGAAAATGAGCATAAAATACTGAAATTAAAACATTATTTACTAGATTTTTAAGCAAGCAGATTACGATCATATTTCTGTTAGGAATCGTATTTCGGGTTTCTTTGTTGTTTACGCTATCTACCTATACGAACCAACCATTGCAATTCCCGACGAATGGTCTTGCAAGTTGCATGCGTTGGGCATCACAGAACTCCTATAGTAGCGAAAATATGGTCGATTATAGTCGGCATAAGTACTTTACCTACGTAACCTACCATTTCACGATGTATTTTTTTTAATCTTTATTAAAGGCCCTTAGTAACCACGGAAAGTCCGTCGTGACATAGGAAGGGGAAAAAATGCAAAGTAATACAGACACTCGCGCGCAGTGATAAAGTTTTATTTAGCTTGCGTACGCGATTTATCTGATTAATAATTACTATGTAGGCTATTAAAACGTCGGCAAGCAGTCAACATCAAAGGAGTGCAACTTCTGTACCTAGTACTATTATTTATTCTGTGCCGCCACGTCAACGCGTTGGGCGCGAGTTTAGTTTGCTACGAGCTCGTAGAGTGACCACACGTACCTGAATTAAATTTTATATTCACGCATTATAACTAGTGTCTATAAAATGGCAGTAGCAATGATAAATGAAGGAGCTTTTAGCTCTACCAAGCCAAAAATAAATTGTTTGTGGAACCTAAGAGATAAAATTTCTTTTTTCCATTTTATTTTGATCACCGTTTTCCTATACACATTCATGTAGTGGGGGCATGCTGTGATCTATGAATAAATAAACTGCAGCAGTCGTTACCGCCTCAATATCCATTTTAATAAATTCGTACGCACATCGGCCTAAACCGAAGCAAACTGAACGACGTTCTAACGTATAGACACCATCACAAACTCTTGGCTAATATCCTTGCCACAACATTCGCCATAATGTTGGCCAACGTGAAGAGCTGCCATAACTCTAGACAGGGAGTGTTATGTGGTAGTAAATAAGAGATAAGAACGTGTACGGGTGTGCAGGCGGCTGGTTCCGGTGTTCTGCGCGCGATACCTGGGCGCTGGCGGCGCTGGCGTGCGGCGCGCGTGCCTGTCGCTGGTGCGCAAGATGGTGCACTGCGCGCCCGCGCCACGCCTGCGCGCGCTGTCCGCGCCGCGCGCCGCCGCGCTGCTCACGCACCTCGTCGCCAACGTCCTCGACAACCAGGTGCCGAGCCATCACTCTCCCACACTCCTCACGCATTGCACGCACACTGGTGCGCAGGATGGTGCACTGCGCGCCCGCGCTGCGCTGCTCACATACTTCGCACACATTGCACACATATCTATATATTAGTATGTTAAGGGAAATCTTTGTATCTCGTTTTAAGCATATAGTGCGCGCAGTGAAGGAGTATAAGATTTGGCATAGTTAAAATTTATATCAATATAAATAATATGTGTTTACAAATACATGAAATTATTCTGTGGTGTCTCAAACATCGGATTTGCACATGTCACATTTGTAGACCCCTCAGAACAATTTTTTTTCATCATCAGCATCATAATTACAGCTCTTCACAAGTCCAGTGCTAAACATAGGCCTCCCCCACGGAATGCCACAAAGCACGGTCCCGAGCCACCCACATCTATTGACTTCCTGCATGTGTTACCAGGTTGTCACTCCATCTAGCGGGGGGACGCCCTACGCTTTGCCTGCCGGTACGAGGCTGCCACTCGAGAACCCAACCGACCGACAATCGATGGGCAAGAATCCCCATCGGTTGTCGGTTCTTTGAGCTATATGGCCGGCCCATTGCCACTTCAGCATACTAATTCTTTAGGCTATGTCGGTTACTCTGGTTCTACTGCGGATATCTTCGTTTTTAAGTAAATCACGCAGAGAAACGCCGAGCATAGCCCTCTCCATAGCTCGCTGAGCGACTATGAACTACCTCATACGGCCAGCAGTGAAGGACCACGTCTCAGATCCATAGGTTATCAATGGCAACATGCACTGGTTGTACAATCTAGTTTTGAGGTATGTCTGACGAGAAGATGTTTCGTAATCTCCCGAACGCTGCCCAGCCGAGTTGAATCCGTCGATTGACCTCTCGGTCAAAGTTGGACTTACCTAGTCGGATTATTTGCCCCAGGTAAACATATTCGTCAACAAGTTCGAGCTGTGCTCCCAAGAACTACCGGCATAGGTGTGACATGGACGTTAAACATGATTTTTGTTTTGTCCATGTTCATCTTAAGACCTATCCGTTGGGAGACACTATTGAGGTCATTGAGCGTAGTGCTTAGGTCCTCCAGCGATTCTGCCATAAAGACTATATCGTCGGCACATCGAAGGTGAGTGATGTACTCGCCATTGACGTTAATACCGTAACCTTTCCAGTCCAGTAGCTTGATATCGTCTTCCAATGCAGCGGTGAAGAGTTTAGGGGATATTACGTCACCCTGTCTTACACCTCTCTGCAGTTGGATAGGTTTCGTACTCTGGTTCTGTACTCGGATAGGCATCGTAGCCCTACTGTACAAACACTTCAGCACTTCAATATACCGACAGTCCACTTGGCACCGCTGAAGGGACTGAAGCACCGCCCAAATTTCGACGTAATTATTTTTTAAATTTAATTTAATCTATAAGAATTATACATCTAAAATTAAAAAAAATATATTATAATTAGTCTCGTTACTAAATTACGGAAATTAAAATTGTACGAAAAATAAAATAAGATAATTTACGTCAAGTGACTACCTTTCGCCATTATGCCACTTTTCTATTAGCGTGTGTCACGAGTACTACATCGACCTGCAAAGCCGACGTAGCTTATTCAATGGGGCTGTTATTAATGCAGCATAGATTCCATACTTTATTTAACAGAGCCTGGTTTAGAGAACCAAAAAAATATTGACCTTGGTCTGACATTATGTCTGACTTAATTGGCCCAATACCAAAGAGATTTAAATATATAGGTATAGCTAGTGCGCGTGTGGCACCCTCTAGCTAAAGATAGCAAAACAACGCTAAGCATTTATTAAGACAACATTTTAGCTATTCCCCAGTAGATGACGCTAATAAGTTTAACTTCGTTTTAGGAATGTTACCGTTTCGATATCAAAGTATCGATAATGTCGTTGAAGATTACTAAGTTTGGAATGCTTTTCGATATAATAATAGGGAATATACATGATTGTTTTATTGTATAAATCTATTTATCATGACTTCCATCACACGAAAAAAGTCATATTAACTTTTTACGCCCCTTTAGTGTCATGAAATAAAATATTTAATTTCCAATAACTAAAAATCAATTCAAACAGCAGTTACTTTGGTTGCCACCTTGGTAGCATGACGTCACTCGGTCCATTAGCTGCTATAATAATAGCATATGATTGATCGGTCGGCGTTAAAGACACATCGAGAAACGCCAAATCCTTTATCCATATCCAGCGCCTCTATGTTTTTAAATTCGTTTCTATTACAAAAATACACTTCAAATCTAAAATATTTTAGGAAAACTTCAAAAACTTCTTGCATCTAATATCTTTAACAGTACAAATTGTTTTTAATGTAAGAAATCTATTGCCCTCTCCTATCACTGTAAGCGAGGATCTATAATGGTTTTATCCTTGAAAACCACCAGAAAATGAAGCCCGGTGTAAAACCACCAGACACTGAAGCCTGGTATGTAAAAGAGAAGACTTGCTGCATTGCTAAACATCAACACAGCAAGTATCCTCAGCATGCTCATAAGCAACAAAGAAAATCTCATCAGAATGCCTAAAAAAAATTTCCCACCCTTGCTCCACATAAAGTAGGGTACTTAGCATAGTTGGTATATGCTAGTCATTTTTGTTGATATGGGTACAGTATCGTTGATTGTTTTACCTCCCTAAATATTGTAAAGGATTAAATCGGCATCCTGTATATTTTTTTATCGATAATCCCAATCGATAAACGTCGTCAATCACTAACTTTATAATTGGTAACTAAATACTACGTTTACTGGATAACAGAGGGCGCTTATTACAATAAAAATAAATATTTTAGAACAATCTACTAGAAATAATAAAATTTAAAGATTATTCGGAAAATATATGTTATATTTACGATAATAAACCGAAATCACGTTCATTTTTTGCTCCATATCGTGACTTACAATATCTTAATGTACAACCGGGCATATTTTCTTTAAAAATATATTTTAAATATATGAAACGAATGCGTCTTGACTTTTTGACGATGTCACTAAGACTAAATGACAAAAATCGGAGATATATCCTATAGGACATAAGTTACAGACGACAATTTTGCTACTGATGTCCGGTCTATTACTACTACTACTTAATTGTCTTTGCTCAATACAATGTTACAACAAGGTAAGGTCCGACCTGAGTGTTTAAATAAAATTAAACATTGTTTACGTTTAGCATGAAAGCCAATTTCACAATTGTCAAACAGAGTCTATGGTTAAACAGTCGCACAAATTAGAGATTATCGCCAAACAATTTTAAAATGTTGCTAACAAAATAATAATTACTGACTGAATGACCTGTGGGGTGTATGTCAAGGCAAAAAAAGCTTATTTTTATATTTTGTATACTACATATGTGTATTTTATATATTAATGTGCGGTTGAAAGCATCTATATTATCTATAATACATATCTATTTCGAGAGTCGACCACTACTAAATTTTGATCACTGTATGGCCACTAGGATTTGTGATTATGCTGATTAGTACGATTCGATCAGCTCGACTTCACCTCACTAGATGTGAGCACTTTTTTCTACCTTACCTATGTGTACCAATAAGTGTTTACTACAGTTTTTATCACAAATAAATCTTTGAGTATTTTCGAAATTTGTTATAGTTACAATTCTAATCATCAACTTTACCAGGTACAATTTCTTAATTAAAAAGAACTAAGTCGATGTTTACAGGCGTGTCACTTTGTAAAAATCTGAGGTATGGAAAATGGTGGCGCGATTTTCAAATTTGTTCGCATTACTCGTGGGGTATTAAGGTTTAAGAGTTTGCAGTGTATATACTCAACTTATTTATTGAACTATAAGATGTGGGGTATTGAGGTTTAAGGGCTTGCGATTTATTTATATGGGGTTTGTAGTAATATGCGATTTATTTCCTAATTTCAGCTATGGAATTCCATACCTTGAAAAACTTGAGGTATGGAGTGCTCCATACCTTCCATAGTGGAAGTGACACCCCTGGATGTTTACTATAAATTATGGCTGTAGGTTTTTGGTGGCACACGTTTTTATATTATATTATACCTATGTCTTAAGCATAAGAAGATATTGTGGTCAATTTTAATTAAATCAAATACATCGGAAAAATCAATTCAAATTAGGATTTAATTGAACCTATTTGTAGTTTTTTTACTCCCATTAAAATGATTTAATTGTAAAATGTTTTGGGTTAAATGAGTTACTCTGATAAAGGATATTTTTTTGTTGTGGTTGTAATTGTTATGTATTTGGCTTGTGAATTGTTACGCTACCGGTATCAGGGCGAGGTGGGCGCGCCACGGCGGCCGCAGCAGCGGTACCTGCGCAGCCGCTATATCCGCGCTCCACGGGTAACGTTCCGATGGTGTGATGAATGCTATCACTACATGTTACTTACCACAAACACTTGAGGACGGCTCTGAAATCAAATCAAATCAATCAATAAATGGTTGTTGCCTATTATACTCAACACCTATATATAATTAATACACATATATGATTGACTATTAAAATAAATTTAACTAAGTTATAGGAAAGTATGCTACTTTTTATACAATATAAAAGCAATGAAAATCCTCTGACACAAACCAATAAGTTCCAGAATTTGAAATAACTATTCGCGATGGCAGGGTATATTTAGGAGAAGGTTTACACCATTACATTCTCATACTTTATGTATGTACTTTAAGAAACAAATTGGCTGTATATTTTGTACTGTGTTTAAAAATGCCTTCTTTCATTTAAACAAGTTGAAAAGACTTCCATTGCTTTTTTTTATACTTACCACCATATCTTCGCTACTAGTTCACTGATTTTATTATATTTTTATTTATAGAATAAACAGTATAATTTCACAGTTATGCAAATTAGATATAAATATCTAAATAATAATAAAAAATATAAATAATCTAATAAATTAAAAAATACAATTATAAGTGCATTTCCCATATCAATGTTATAAAAGTTTATGCAAAATAATTAAACAAAACAAGGCAGAATAGAAGAATACCAATGTTATTTGTTATTGATTTCCAACTTGACCCAAAAAAGGTTATGAAAATAATTGCATATACTGGGGCAATTAAGTATTCGTATTATTACCCCTTCTAGAGCCGCCTTTAAGTACCTACATTGCACGTAATAAACAGTCCATTTTTTGTTACCGATAGTGTCTCTTACGGTTTTGTTTGTTATTTGTAATTGTAAATGACATGTTGCACACTATTAATATTTATTATATTACCTCCACATCTATTAAATTGCCGTTTCATTTAGAAGTATTTACAAGTTTCATATGACAATTATTATAAGGACATAATTTTCTTATTACTTTCTTAATTGAATTATCAAGCACGGTAGTTATTAGAAGTACACTGATGCCTCAGTTATAAAAATCTTTAGCGTCATTGCTCAGCGTCAGACGTAAGTTCTAACTTCAAGTTTTGTTTAAAAAAATGTCGATTAAGATGAAGAATGGATGTATTTTTCCAAACCGCAAGTATACAATTATGTCGTTCAAAATCGCTAAGCTTCTTCGGTGAGGTTCGGTTAATAACCGCAGATGTCGTAGGCCGAATTCTCGTAGTCGCTTTCCGAAGTAGAGTTCACTTTCGCGTTCCCGAAATAACTATCTATCCGTTCCCCGGTACATGTTTTACAGTCGATAAAATGTATATAGAACTTTCTAGGTTAATCCAAGTCGTCCCACTCTTTCGACTAGAAAAGTACTAGAACACTCGCGATAACAAGTAACAACATCCAAAGGAGAAAAGGCTTTATACACGAGACATAAGGTTGCTTCTTGATTGCATTAATAGTCCGAGCGGTATCTATTTTTATGCCTACACTTTTTATGTATTTTTTCTTTATTTTCGAATTTCTTGATTTGATTTCATTCGTTTCGCTTCTTTTAATGAGTATATATATTTAAATATCTGTGGGTTCAGCTTTTCCGTTCTATTTGCAACGAAACACTAAACAGTTAGTTAACAGTAGTATCCGTCGATAAAGTTGTTGTTGGTTTTAAAAAAAAGGGGTGGCAAACGAGCATGCAATCAACCTGTGGAAGTGGGTGATGTGACTTTATCTATCATCACACCTTCATCTATACTCGATTAAAAAGATAAACGAGTTCCAACTTTTCAATGATATCAAATAGATATTACAGACGATACCAAAATAAATAGCGAGTAACATATCAACAAGTGATTTTTAAAAGCTTCAATATGAAATTAATTCAAAATTAGGATTCCAGTAAAGAAAAAATGAAAAAAAAAATTATTTATTGATTTACAATTATACATTTTATGCTAGTTGCAAGGGCCTATGTACTAGGTTGTAGACCTGTATTACTGGGTACTCCGCTCATCAAACAAGACAATAAGATCTTAATCAATAAATAACAAAAAGCAAAATCTAGCATTAGGTAATAAAAGTTATTTGGAATATAATTATAATTAGAATACATGATATGCGTGCGTGGAAATCAAATTTCATACTAGAAAACGGCAATTTCATAGATCGTAATTCTAATAACATTGTTCTTGACACCGTAATTCTTCTATAATGTAATAAAATGACACAAAGGCAGGCATTTCCTCTCACTAGTCTAATTTTTAAGCATTATATTTGTATAATAAAACATCACACCATCGAAATTTACCTGCATTGATTTGTCCTTTTTTTGTGCTTCCTTTCCATTACTAAACAGTTGTTTGTTACATTTCTTACCTTGTTCTTTAGTCCTAAGTAATAATTGACACTTAGAATAATCAATTACATTGTAGATACATAAATTCACATTGAGACGTGATTATAGTGATTCCTTAATATTCGACTTCAGTGGAATATTTAAGGTTTGCAATAAAAAATTAAATTTAAAATAAAAAGAATATTCTGGGAAGAACGCAGTTCTAAACTATTTCTTATATTTTATTAAATCGCCTTTTAATCCAGGACGATGACGACGGCCATCTGATAGTGTTGGGTATCGCAGAGGAACTGATGGTGAAAGCGGCAGACATTTACCTTGAGCAGTTTGCGCGACTTGGTGTCTTCAGTAAAGTAGAAGCGTTGGCGGCTGTTCCTGCGAACCAACTTACTACGGATGGCGAATCTGTCATCGGCGCAGGTAAGATTTTTATTATTGTGTACTATTTTACGTTCATTAACAAAATTATTAGTAGCATTTAACTATTTTGAAAACTTGAAGGACGGAAGAAGCAAAAATCTTGTAGATATTGTTTTATTATTCAGTCAATTGCAATAGATTACGGTAATCTTCTGTTCGATTTTTGTTGTGTGTAAATTAATCAATACCTGCAATCATAAAACTAATAACTCTTTTCAATAGCTTATATTCTAAAATTTGGCATGAGACAAGTTGAAGTAAAGATGCAATCAAAAAATGTATGTTTTTAAGTCACAGCGTCAGGTGGCAGATTCTAAATTACTGATACAAACTTTCAATGCGCTTTGTCAATCAGTCATTACCTATGGGATCCGTTCATGGGGTGGGCCAGGCAAAACGTACCTAATAGATGTTGAAAGAGCACAACGTATTGTGCTCAAAGTGTTATTTTTCTTCCGTATAGGCATCCCACAACACTGGTGTATGAAAAAGCACAGGTACTTAGTGTAAGAAAATTATTTATATACCAGTGTATCATATGATTCCATAGGTACTCTGCACCCAATAAACTTGACATTAAAAACTATAATAGAAGAAATAAAGTAGATAAATACTTAGTCCCTAGAATACATAGCGCTTTTGCCAAACGACAATTTTATTACCTTGCACCATTACTATACAATAAATTTAATAAAATTTGTGTTAGTAAGAGCTACAACAACCATCAAATCAAAAGTAAAATAATTAATTGGCTGAAAACTTGTGACTATGAAGCTACTGAATGTCTATTAACCTCTAATTTGTAAACGTAATTGTAATCATAATTAATTCAGGCAATCAATAACAATCATACAAATTTAAAAAATTAAAATCATGTACGCACACACACTCACTCTCTCTGTCTCTCACACATACAAACACAGACACACACACACACACACACACACTTGTGTTTGTGTGTATTTTTATTCAACAAAAGTTTGCTAAATATAGGAAGGAACTATCTCCTACTCAGGTTAACCTTTTACAGGAGATAGGGCCACATTGATATGTATAAATTGCTTTTTGTTGCAATAAAATTTTTTCAATTTTTAATTTCAATTTTTCAATTTTTAATTTGAATTTTTCAATTTTCAAATCGATTCAAAAGTGAGCATTGTCGTTTTGGCGCGCTAGGGGGAGGTGGGGGCGCAGGGGCGGGCGAGGACGCGTCGTGGCTGGCGAGCGGCGCGGCGTACGGCTGGGGCGAGTGGTCGCTGTGCCGCGGCCGCGACGCGCTCTACGTGTGGAGCGACGTGGCCGCGCTCGAGCTCAGCACCGGCAGCAACGGCTGGTTCCGCTTCCTGCTCGACGGCAAGCTCGCCACCATGTACTCCAGCGGCAGCCCCGAGCACCAGACCGACAACACCGGTAACTGGTGGCCACAAGCCATCTCAAACTTCTGACACGGTTTAGCACCACCATTTAATAGCACTCATTATTATAGTGAGATTGACTCCAATCTCACTATGATAATATTAGCACTCATTATTGCAGTGGGATGATTGTGTTGACAGTCTTCAATGTCTTTGAAATATTTCTATTTCACTGACTTGTAAATTTTCCCAACAAAGCTTTACTTCATGTGGTGGATATGTCGAACTTTAATACCATACCTCAGCGATGAGATACAGCATTACCAGTGTGATACGCTATGTATTTATTAACCCACCTATTTGGCATTTTGGGCATGCGTACATTTTTTTAAATGGCATATTATTGAAAAGCCAATAACCGTCAGAAGAAAAAAACTGATAAAAAAGCTTAATAAATGACATTTTAATTTTAGTATCTTGTAAACTTAATTTTTACCAAAAAAATTGTTTAGACCATTGGCTTGAAGAATGTGCGAGTAATGATAACTGCAGTTCCATTAATTATTACAAATTTTTGTATGAAATAAGTTAACAGGTTGAATGAATTTTTTTTTTCAAAAGTACTAGATACATACTTTAAATATTAAAATATCTAAAACTATGTTATTATTTGCAGAGAACCGCGGTGAATTTATCGACAAGTTACAGAGGGCTAGGGCATCTGTCAAAAATTCAATACCACAGTCTATTCTCTCAAAGCCAGGACCAGCCAAACTTGTCCTTGGTAACTGGACACTATCTTGTAAAAAGTAAGATATTATTACTTAGACTGCATCACTTTGCAAATTCAGGTATATGTTAAGATAATAATTTGTATTTTCAGAGAAAAGGAACTTCTTATCCATAATACAGATGGTCAGCAACAAACAACGATATTAAGGGAAGACTTACCCGGATTTATATTTGAATCTAATAGAGGAACAAAACATACTTTCACAGCAGAAACATTTTTAGGTAAATTATTGCTAAAATCACTTCTTACTTCTGTTTAGCGTTTTCTATTTTGTATTCTGATTGTTCTTTATATTACTTTAAGGTCCAGAACTAGCAAGTGGCTGGGTGGATAGAAGACCAGTAACGACAAACAATGGAAACACAAGCCAGAATCGTTCTAGGTTCTCGGCAAAGACTGAAGCACAGAAAACACAGGTCTGTATTTTAACTTGAAATGTGGCATTAAAGAATGCCTTTCTTGAAACTGTTATAAAATTATGTCAATAATTAACTTCTCCACTTATTTATTGTCCTCACAATGTTTTTAAAACGGAATTTCTGTCACGGCGGTCAGTCTCAACGGAAAATAGCCATCTGCATAGGATAGGATCATAGTGTTCGTGTGTGTGTGCAAACATTCCTCGTCTGAACAGAGGTCAGGTACAGAACTAATGGTTTTATGTGCTTTCAGAGGCACGAGAATGAAACATTGTTAAATTGCTGACTCCAGGCTGGTACTGATAATAATTTCCTGACATAAAACCCAGAATGTCATAAATATAAAATAAAGGTGTGTGTGTGAATATATAAGTGAACTCATAGATTCACTTATATATTCATCTCGTAAGCCTGCCACAAAAGAACCTTTTTTTCGATCGATTGTCGGTTCTAGAAACTATATGGCCGGGCCATTGCCACTTCAGCTTACTGTTCCGTTGGGCTATGTCGGTTACTCTGGATTAGCTGCGGATATCCTCATTTATAACTATTACATAGAAAAACTTTGAGCATAGCCTTCTCCATAGCTGAACGAACTTGAGCATTCTCTTAGGGCTAGCAGTGAAGTACCACGTTACGCAGATTTTAATGTCTCTTCTATAAATTTGCTGTATAGTACGTCAACGCACGATCTAGCACGCAAAATGTACTGACGAACGTCGGTACTATTTCATGGTCCATTTGCACGTGCAAAATGCGTGCGTTAATCGTAAGTCGGTTTACATCGTCGTGTATGACCTTGTGCGTACGTAAAATATAGACCGTATATAAGTGAGGAGGATGCGTTGTATAGTTATAGTTGCGCATTGTGCAGGTGAGCGAGCGCGCGCGTGCGCTGTACGCGCGGCACCTGTCGAGCGCGGCCACGCGCCAGCCGCGCCCGCCCGTCGCGCGCCTGCGCGCCCTGCTCGCGCGCCTGCAGCGCCTCGCCGCGCACCCCGCAGGTACACACGTGCACACGCACGCACGCGCACACTTACATAACACGCACACACTCGCATACACGCACAAGCACAAACAAACTACATGCGTAGCGCCCTGCGTCCACCGCCCACTGCTCACAATTGTATCACTGTTATGATTATTCTGCTTCAATATTAATCACTGTGAAATTAAAAATTGTATCTTTATAAAAGGTAAGGTAAACATAGTGATTAGAATAATTAAAGCCGCGACTTCAGAAGCCCACAGCATCCCTTTTTACCGAAAACGAGGCATTCCATCATAAAATAATAATATTTCTTTTGAGTATAAAAAAAAATCAGTTAGGCCTATTGCACGTTGTTTCTGTACTAACTTGACCAACTTACCGATTTGAACTACCAGATAAATAAATAACTTCAAAATCACTCAAATTTCACATAAATATTATATTGTGCGTTTAGTGCACACAGCTCGTTTATATACATTTTAAATTATTAAGCCAATGTTTTAAAATAATTAGTAGGGAAGTTTAAGTGTCATTCAAGTAAAAATTTGTTTTGCTAATATGTCATTATCATGATCTTCATCATTACAGCAATTCACAAGTCCTATGCTGAACATAGGCCTCCCCCAAGGAATGCCACAAAGCACGGTCCTTAGCCACCTGCATCCATCGACTTCCTGCATATCTTACCAGGTCGTCACTCCATCTAGTAGGGGACGCCCTACACTTCGCCTGCCGGTACGAGGCTGCCACTCGAGAACCTTTTTTCCCATCGGTTGTCAAGTCTTCGAGCTATATGGCCGGCCCATTGCTACTTCAGCTTACTAATCCGTTGAGCTATGTCGGTCACTCTGGTTCTACTGCGGATATCCTCATTTCTAAGTTTATCACGCAGAAAACCTCCGAGCATAGCCCTCTCCATAGCTCGCTGAGTGACCTTGAGCTTCCTCATCCGGCCAGCAGTGAAGGACCACGTCTCAGTTCCAGAGGTCATCACTGGCAACACGCACTGGTTGTACAGTCTCGTTTTCAAGTTTTGAGGTATACCTGACGAGAAGATGTGCCGTAATTTACCGAACGCTGCCCAACCGAGTTGAATCCGTCGATTTACCTCTCGGTCGAAGTTAGACTTACCTAGTCGGACTATTTGTCCCAGGTAAACATACTCGTCAACAACTTCGAGCTTAGTGCTCCCAACAACTACCGGCATAGGGGTGACATGGACATTAAACATGATCTTTGTTTTGTCCATGTTCATATTAAGACCTATCCGTTGGGAAACACTATTGAGGTCATTGAGCATAGTGCTTAGGTCCTCCAGCGATTCTGCCATAAGGACTATATCGTCGGCAAATCGAAGGTGAGTGATGTACTCGCCATTGATGGTGATACCGTATCCTTTCCAGTCCAGAAGCTTGAAAACGTCTTCCAATGCAGCGGGGAAGAGTTTCGGGGATATGACGTCACCTTGTCTTACACCTCTCTGCAATTGGATAGGTTTCCTACTCTGGTTCTGTACTCGGATAGCCATCGTAGCCCAACTGTACAAGCACTTCATCACTTCGATATACCGACAGTCAACTTCGGCATCGCTGAAGGGACTGCAGCACCGCCCAAATTTCGACGGAATCAAAGGCTTTCTCATAGTCCACATACGCCAGACATAGTGGCAAATTGTACTCCTCTGACTTCTGTACAATTTGCTGAAGGGTATGTATGTGATCTATGGTGCTAAAGCCTTTTCGGAAACTGGCTTGTTCGAGAGGCTGGAAGTCGTCAAGTCTACGCGCGCGAGACGATTCGTAATGACTCGAAAACAGCACGTAGACGCGGCTCAGAAGGGAAATCGGTCTGTAGTTCTTCAAGGGAGTGTTGTCGCCTTTCTTGAAGAACAAGACCACCGCACTTCTGCTCCACGCCTCTGGAGTAGTGCAACCATGGAGGACGGAATTAAAGAGCTTCTGAAGGACTTCAAGTACCGGTTTTCCACCCGCTTTCAGAAGCTCCGCTGTAATTCCATCCTCGCGTGAAGCCTTGCCGTTTTTAAGGTGCTGGAGAGCCATTCTAATCTCGCTCAGACTGACGACCGGGATATCACCGGAATAGTGTCGGATAAGACTCGCTCTTGGATCGTTACTCACACTTGCGTGTGGCTCCAACGATGATGTGTACAGCTGCCCATAGAACCTCTCAATCTCACTCAAAATCTCAGGTGTCCCGGAAATGACGCTGCCACACTCGGTCTTCAGCTTCGACAGTTGGCTCTTTCTGGCAGATAGATCTCTAGCAAAGACTTTGGAACCTTGGTTCCGCTCGATCGCTTTTTCAATACGAGCAGTATTAAAGTTTCGTAAGTCCCGTCGCATGCACCTGGATATCTGTCTGTTCAGTTGCCTGTATGCTGTCAAATCTACTGAAGACTGCAGCTTCATATCCCGTCTAACAGCCATGAGAATAAGAGTGTGATCGGAGAGTTTTTGTGTTTTAGGCGGCGGGTCTTGCAAAACTTAGCTCCGACCGCGGACAGTTTCCACGAGCTTGTCATTCATATCGTTCACTGCATTGGAATCTTCTAGGCACTGAAAACGGTTTCCTAGCTCGAGCTGAAAGGTTTCGGGACTTTCGATTAGAGCACGAGGAGGACGGTGCGTTGACTTCATTAGACGTGACCTCTCCAACTTAATGTTCAGGTTCAGTGTGCCTCTCACCATTCGGTGATCGCTGCCGGTTTTTACCCTCGCGATCACTGAGACATCACTGAACGGTTGTCGTCTGGTCGTCGTGTGCTAATCTATACTGAGCGATATTTAAAACGATTTGAAAAGTTGAGCACAATAGTAAACAGTTCAACTCCCGCATTGGTTATTAATACATTTTACAAAAAATATGCCGGCTGTTCACTTTATAAAAATATTATATTTATGTGTGTTCAGGTGACTGGCAACAAGAACTGAGGGACTCGTTGGATCAACTGACGGAGCTATTGTGTGGGGAAGAACTGCTTTCAGCTTATGAGCTACAGTCTTCGGGACTTGCACCAGCATTACTTCAGGTTCTTTCGTCCCAACCGAATGGTAAGTTCACAGCAGCAAAATGTTATACAATTTCTTCATTAATTATTAACTTAAAACAAAACAAACAAACTCTGAAGTTAGTTATGTGTGTATAATACGTCAGTTCGATTAGGAAAGAATCACAGTACAGTGTAAAATACGAGGGCTGCACTAAAAGTATCGGGAATAGAATATTTCCACTGTTCCTGTCATATTAAAATCTTTTTAATTAAAAAGTCCTTGGTTTTAAAAATCGAATACCATTTATTTATTTAAAAAAAGATTCTCGGTCTTGCCACAAGGTTTTATCAAACTTGTTTAGTCGTTGAGAAAATGGAATTGACTCGAGAAAATTATAGAGCTATGATTTATTATGACTTTCGAAGTGGTTTAACACAAAAACAGTGTGTTGACCGGATGATTTCTGCATTTGTTGATGAAGCCCCATCCAAAACCACAATTTATCGCTGGTTTGCTGAATTTCAACGTGGACGTGTCAAACTCAGTGACGATCCCCGTCAAGGTCGTCCAAAAACTGCAGTCACCCAAGAAAACGTTGATGCTGTGCGTAAGCTGATTGAGGAAGATCGACATGTGACATATCGCGAAATTCAGGCAACTTTAGACATTGGCATGAGTCAAATACAAATAATCTTGCATGAACAATTAGGTGTAAAAAAGTTGTTTTCCCGATGTATATCGCATTCGCTCGCGTTACTTGTTGCGTCAGAACTCTCGAAAGATTCCACGCAGGATCCTCAAATGCTGTATACAACATCGTATAAGGTGACGAATCCTGGATATCTGCGTACGAACCCGAAACAAAAAACCAGTCACGAGTTTGGGTGTTCGAAAATGAGTTAAAGCCAATGAAATTGTTCGTTCACGGAGTGTTGCAAAAAAAATGGTGCCCACATTTGTCTCCAAAACCGGCCATGTTACGACTATTCCTCTTGAGGGACAAAGAACGGTTAATGCAGAATGGTATGCTAGCATTTGTTTGCCACAGGTCGTTTCTGAACTCCGTAAAGAGAACTGCAGCTGCCGCATCATCCTCCATCACGACAATGCGAGTTCTCACACCGCACACAGAACAAAAGAGTTTTTAGAGCAAGAAAACATAGAATTATTAGACCATCCGCCGTACAGCTCCGACCTAAGCCCTAATGATTTCTATACTTTACCTAAAATAAAGAATAAATTGCGTGGACAGAGATTTTCATCACCTGAAGAAGCTGTGGACGCCTACAAAACGGCAATTTTGGAGACCCCAACTTCCGAATGGAATGGTTGCTTCAATGATTGGTTCCATCGTATGGAAAAATGTGTCAAATTTCGCGGAGAATACTTCGAAAAGCAATAAATACATTTTTAAATAGTAATGTTGTGTCACTTCCTTGATTCCCGAAATTTTCAGTGCCGCTCTCGTATCAACACAATATTACCATTGCAACGTTTTGCATAATGGAGATCTAGTTACAGGGACTATGCTGAGTATTTTATATATTATGTTTATTCATGAAGGGAGTTGTTTAAGAAAGTATAGGAAAATTTTTCATTTTAGTATTTGTGTATTTCATTACATTAATTAATACATCACAAAATGTTACTATTTTGTAGATGAATTTTTAAATGACAAAATGTACATACTAATTAATGATATATGTATTTGGTAATGGTGGTGTTCTCATTTTAAGTAGTTGTATTTTCTCCTCAATTGAAAGTTTTTTAGATTAAAAAATGGTCTCTAATTATAGTTTTTATTCAGCTTGATGTTGAGTAACAAGTCTTTTACTATTATTTCTTAATAGACTATGAGACGGATATTATTAAAATGTTGAACATTTATTTCTTGCTAAATGTAAGAAATTATCGACAGTCGTTCTGGTAGTAATTATGCGTTTTGGCACTTTTTCTTGTTTTTAACATTAGTGCTAAATATCCTATATTCGTGTAATGGAATTGTTAGAAAATATTCACTATCCTATATCATCATGTGGGTGTCATAAGAGGCTACAGAGGGAAATGGTACCAGGAGATGGGCAGCAGCATTTTTCTGATCACACCTTTATATAATTTAAAATTAAAAATTTTGTACAGCCGACTTCAATATAAGTTATTTAAGAATTACTTAAAAACTATTGGTCTGACCTTGATCAAATTCATATGGGACCACACGAGAAGTACCAGCTTTCAAATAAAAAAAGAATCATCGAAATCGGTTCACCCAGAAAAAAGTTCTGAGGTAACACACATAAAAAAAAAAACGAAAAAAAAAACATACAGTCGAATTGAGTACCGGCTCCTTTTTGGAAGTCGGCAGAAATAATTTAAAATTAAAAATTTTGTACAGCCGACTTCAATATAAGTTATTTAAGAATAACTTAAAAACTATTGGTCTGACCTTGATCAAATTCATATGAGACCACACGAGAAGTACCAGCTTTCAAATAAAAAAAGAATCATCGAAATCGGTTCACCCAGAAAAAAGTTCTGAGGTAACACATAAAAAAAAAAACGAAAAAAAAAAACCATACAGTCGAATTGAGTACCGGCTCCTTTTTGGAAGTCGGCAGAAAATTTTTTATTTATTTATAGGATAAGGGTGACAAACGAGCACACAGTCCACCTGATGGTAAGTGGTTGCTGCGGCCCATAGACATCTACATCTATCCTCTATTACAAATCAAAATGTAGATGCGTTGTCACCCGTGAGGGCTAAGATGGAATGCCTCATTTCCAGTAAAAAAGGCCTTCGGCCACCTGCACTCACCAAGCGAAACGCAGAGGTAAACCTCTACTTCACGCTGGTTTTCTGTGAGGTCGTGGTACCACCCCGGTTCGAGCCGGCCCATCCGTGCGACAACAGCAACAGCTGCCGCTTGGCTCTACCACTATAAATTAAATAAATAAAGATTGCGGTTGCAAACCCGCTTGGAGTGACAACTGTGGCAAATCGTCCTCTATAAGGCAATCTATGATGGAGGTCTATGTTCAGTAGTGTACTTTTGATAGGTTGTAATGGTAATCTCATATCCTGTGCTATGATGTAGATGTCGATATCGGATATAATGCTCGTACGTTTGTGTGGGCAGAGGGCGCGGGTGGTGCGGGTGGTGCGGGTGGTGCGAGTGGTGCGAGTGGTGCGGGGGGCGCGTGGGAGCGCATCGTGCGCGAGTGGCTGGCGGCGTCGGAGTGGCGCGCGGGCGCGGCGCTGGCGGCGCGCCTGGTGGCCGTGCTGGAGAGCGTGGAGCGCCTGCCCGTGCTGGCGCCCGCCGCCGACGCGCCCGTGCCCGCCGCCGGCTCGCTGCACCACCTCGCCAAGCGCATCAGGTGCCACACACACACACATACATACATGCACACGCCGCCTCGTGCGTACACGCACGCATACCTTACATTTTTTATATAACTGAAATGACAATGAAAATACGGTCCACCTGATTGTAAGTGGCTTCTGAAGTTGATGGAAACCTACAATCAACTTCTGAGGACTAAGATGGAATGCTCATAGCTTATAATAATACTGTCTACTAGCACGTACTGCTATTTGGCGTCAGAAATAGTTAACGAGGGTTGCACTTCGTCATGATACTACTCCCCGTTTGTGTTATTGTCAATCAGAGTGTTTGAGGATGCTATCACATCGATATAGAGACATTTACATGAAAATAGTATTGAAACATGGCAAAATGAGGTATAAACATTTATTTTTTTGTCTACTGTGCACTCCTTTAACAGTCATTCGAAGTTGATGAAACTTTGATTAATTGCTGCAAAGGTTTTTAAAAATAAAAAAGAGGCCAAATTACCAGTCGGGACTAAGGCGAACTTACTTCTTACACTGTCAGTGTCAGTGTCATCATCGTTGAAAATACGCGATTTAATTGTAAATTTTTCCCGTTTCTAGTGTATATATACACAAAATACAGCCTCAGTGCTGTATTCTTTAATTTTTTTACACGTTTTAACTTTTTTAATTCTTCTACTTTTAGAAATATCCGTAGTGAAGTTTATCCGTTAGAAACGGTCTAATCTAATTATCTAATTAACGTAAAATATAACTAATATTTCAGAAAGAAATATCAATCAGTCATAAAAGTGAAGACACTTTTCTAACAAATTAAGTTCTCTGCTATGACATATTATGTCAAATTTATTACCTCACGCCTAAGAGGCGCCGCCTAAGAGGCCTGGTGGCATAAAAAGTGATTCATTGCTGTGTTGCCGAACACAGCTAGTCATTTATAAAAAAATATATATTTGAATCAACCTTCCAATTTTCTTGTACTATAATCATCATTTACAGTCCTTCACTAATACGAAACCATACCGAATATTATTTAAATATACCTTGTAACTTACAACATCCGTTGGAATCATCTTTTTCATTCTTTTTCAACTAATGTAAATTTATAGACTTCGCGTGGAACGTGCGAGCGAGGACTCTGCGGAAGATAATGGTACAAGCAACAGTAACAATGCGGGTCGCAGCTTGAAGGTCGAAGCCCTAACAACCGTGCGTCAGCTTGAGCGGTTCCTTGCCAAGTCCGTCGCGCGGCAGTGGTACGACATGGATCGCTCCACCTTCACCTTCGTACAGAAGATCAAGGCAGAAGCACCAATCACCTTCACATATGATGTGAGTGAATTCAGTTAATGTTTTACCCTTTTTCAACATAAAAGAGAATCCATAACTGTATCTTATTTACAAATAACTAAGGAAAATTCCAGAAAAAAACATGACGGAACATATAATATTGTGTATAACCTACCACAGCTGAAATGGTCGCTTTTAGTGCTGCTTCTCATCTATCCGTCGACTGTCGCGATGATGTCTAATAGCCGATTATTCTAGTATAGTCTAGGTTTAGTTGAGCGTTGCATAGTAAAGATTTTGTTTTATTTTCCATTTTTTCTAGTTTAGTGTGGAGATTTATAAAAATATTTTAGACTAAAAATAATATTCAATGAAAATCTGCTTGATTGAAGAATTTAGCATTTCAACTATTTGTCTCATCTGTCACTATTTTTCTGCTCCAAATTAAATTATAATGATTAGTATTATATTTTTATACGAACATGTCCAAATCAACTTATAAATTATTTCAGCATGATTTCGACGAAAACGGCGTATTATATTTTATCGGCAGCAATGCTGGCACTAGTGAATGGGTAAATCCGGGTGCTCATGGCCTAGTCAGTGTGTGGTCGTCCGATGGTCGCCAATTGCCGTATGGGCGTGCTGAAGACGCTTTAAGCCGCTCGCCTGAACCCTTAAACGTTCATACGAATGACGATAGAAGAGCGTTTATCGCGCTAGATTTGGGATTACACATTGTCCCCTCTGCTTATACTTTGCGCCATGCACGAGGATATGGCCGGTCGGCGCTTAGAAATTGGCTGTTTCAAGTAAGTCCTTTTGCTGATTATATTTTTTAATGTAATTCTAACATTTAGCATTAAGAGATTAAGATCATAAAACTACTTTACTTTTTCGCCGTATTAAGCGTCTACCTCACACAAGCGGTTTGCGGTGGCGACTAACCGTGAGCCGTGGCTCTAGCCGCTGCAACAACACACTACCGCGGTCTCAGTGGCGGCCAGAAGCGCCATTCGCTGTGGCGTCTCTTTGTGATTGAGGGTGTCGAATTTTTTTTAAAAGGCGTGATTTACTTTTTAGTTTTTTGACTCGTCGAAAAGAATAGAGTATATAAATTATGAAGTAGTATATTACTTATAGGTAATGTGCATAGTAATAAATCAACATAATAGTCTCTTACAATTCAAATTTTTATGAATGTAAATAATGGTTAGCCACTCTTATTTAGAATGGTTTATTATTTTGATATAGGTATATTCAAATATTTGCGATATTTTTAAAAAAAAATAATGACCAGTACAAAGGTTAGTTAAAAACTATTTCTGATACAAACCTTTTAAGTCCAGGGGCTTAGGATGATGCCTCTTATTTTAAGTTAATATATATTTATTTAAATAACATTATACGATATTTGTTACTGGTAACGAAGGAAAAAAAAAGCAAATGGACAGCAGTGTCTTCCAAATAACGAATAGGAAAAAAGGAAACTGCCGTCGCCAACCTGTCTGGCAAGCGTGGCACGTGTGGGAAACCACCGTGTGGTGTACGTTTAGCAGTGGAGTTGAGGGTGTAATGAACGTGTGCGTGCGCTGCGCACTGTGCAGATGTCGGCGGACGGCGTGGCGTGGAGCACGCTGGCGGCGCACAGCGACGAGCAGGCGCTGCAGGAGCCGGGCAGCACGGCCACGTGGCGCCTGCGCGCCGACGCGCCCTACCGCTACCTGCGCGTGCAGCAGAACGGCAAGAACGCCAGCGGACAGAGCCACTACCTCTCGCTCTCCGGCCTCGAGCTGTACGGCAAGGTGAGCACCGACCGCGCCACGTCGATGCTACCTTCCCTGTCCCGTGACCCACATATGGGTCATTGCTACTGTCTTACAAATTGTTACATACTATTTGTCTGTAAATCGAACAGTAAAAGTGTTAAGGTAGTCATTTCATTCCAGGAAATATTAGAATAACAGTTATATGTTTGTCGTAGTTGGAAATGCATTAAGAGGTAATTGTTAAAAATAATGCAAAACAAGCAATACTTAGCAATAAACACAGCAAAACGCACCGCACATTCAGCGTGGAGCGATTATGATTCGACTATACCGTAATACGTGTCGGTTACAACCACACATGTCGTGCGACGTGATAGACAAAATTTTATGACAATACTAAAACAGATCAATTATATAAACCAATAGCAACAGTGCCTATTACGGCGTTACCGAAGAATACTTTTCTTTGCTTCTAGCGGAATAACTACAATGAACACAATAACGACAAACACGACAATCGATTTAATTACTTGAACGGTATCCCCGAGCACTAACTAGTTCCCTACGTGGAATTATCTATATTCTATCCTCATCTTCAAAGTATAGATAATACATACGTGTGTGGACATGTGGGGCGACATGAGAAAATCCATTATCCCAGCGAAGTCAAAGCGTGCGAAATTTACATTTGTTCTTGGTTAAACTCCGAATGCGGATACGTTGCCACTTCATTCGATTTAATTGGAATGCTTTCTTACCAGCAATTCACTTTAAAACTAGCTACAATCATTAAAGTGATAGTCTGTCTTATGGTAAGTGGCTACCGTAGGCCATTAACATCTGCAACTGTGCAACCAACTTCCAAATGTAGAAAGCAAAAAATGTTTTGTCAGCCCTCAGACATAAGGTAGAATATGTCATATCTTATACAGGGTTATTTCGCAATAACGTTAAAGGAGATGAACTTCGTTCCATTAAAGCTTGGGCCCGGCGTAAACAAAGTTCAAATATATCTTACTTTGAAGATTTAAACATTTGTTACTTATGACAAAAAATCATATTTTTGTAGGACCTGGGGTTTTGTTTTATTATTTGTAGCTTATGTAGTAAAATCACTCGTTCTTGGTGATAAGTTGTTTCAATAAATTGAAAAAAAAAAACAAAAACACAAAAATATGCCGTTTTTTAGTTATTATTAAATAAAATAAAATAAATTACAACCCAAACTTTTCTAATTGTTTAATTATTTTCTGCAATTATTAATAAAATGTCATCTAGAAAAGCAGCCGGAGGCTGTACATCGTCTGTTCCTCTCAAAACCCAAGTAACACATTATTAATCATTATCATTATGTGGACACAACAACTTACTGTTCTGTAAATCGAGAGAAAACCCAGGGGTCAAGTTAAATTAATTCACGAAAATAAAAACACGAAATATATCCACAAACACATCCACAATGTTAAATGCGCATGACAAGTTTAAACTCGAAGTTACCAAGATATCGTGTCCAATATTATTAAAATATTTTGTTTAGTTTTATACCGTAGCCTAATCAATCAATTTTCTAAATAGATTTGTTTTATTCATTACTAATCTTTACTGATTTGCCTCAATGTTTCAATATTCTGAGTTTTTTTGATATTGAAGGCTATTTGTTACAAAAAATTGTCTTCATTATCTAATGCCATAGACAAAATACATAAAAATATTTAAAAACGTTTTTTTTTTGCTATGGTAAAGGCTAATGCCTTTACCATAGCAAAAAAAAACCTTTCGTTTTTCAGTTTAAAAAAAATGGTTTTATGATTGCCCCATCCACTACAGAAATAAAAACCATTTAATTATGTTTATAATTTATCGTTATATTCCCTACATATTTTTGTATAACTGTTACGAACGATGACAACAATCCAATTTCATACATCTCCTTTGCAGAGAAGGTTCAAAATAAGTAATATGGTGAAGAAAATTTAATTAAAAAAAAATCGCAAACATTCTGTCCTTTTTATCTTTTAAATTCAATTTTAACTGATTTTACTACGCACGCACACTTTCGTAAGGGCCGACCGGTAGACAAAAATGTTGTGGCCCATAAATCACAATTTAATTTAATTTAATTTAATTTGGGATAATTTCAATTAAAAGTAATTACCCTTGGGACATTTGATTAGTGACCAACTCAGACAGAAAATTCCACTCAGAAAAAACGATTTAAGACAATATTATTTAATGTCATAATGAATTGTTGAAACTTGTAACAGGTGGTGAGCGTAGTGGAGAGTCCGCCGCGGCAGTGCGGTGGCGGTGCAAGCTCGGGCGCTGGGGCAACGGGCGCGGGTGCGGGGGCGGGGGGCGCGCGGTCGCGGCGCTGGTCGCGCGGCGCCCGCGGCCTGTGCGTGGGCGCGCGCGTGCTGCGCGGCCCCGACTGGAAGTGGCGCGACCAGGACGGCTCGCAGCCCGCCATGGGCACCGTCACCTCCGACCTCCACAACGGCTGGGTCGACGTCAGGTGAGCGCCGCTACGTCTTTACGTGCTAGACCCATGCTGCAGCTATATTAGTAGTATACTTGTAGCACGAATGGCTCGGCTAAACCGGGGAGGGACCACGCTCTCTCAGAATGCCAGCGTAAAATAGCAGATTAACACTGCTGTGTTTCGTATGGTGAGTTTAGAGAACTGGAGACTCTTTTTACTGGAAAAGAGACATTCCGTCTTAGTCCTCACGGGTGACAACGCATCTGACTGATTCGCAAACAGACTCATTTTGATTCACAAATTCTTCCCATCAGGTGGACTGTGTGCTCGTTTGTCACGCTTATTCTATATAAAAATATATATACACACACACACACATATATATATATATATATATATTAGCTGACCAGAACTGCACACAGTGTGCAATTTCATTGAAATCAGTTCAGTAGTTTAGGAGATCATTACAATGTGACACATAATTTTTATATATATATATATATATATATATACAAACTTACATATCTACCCAAAATATGTATATAAATTACAAATTCCTTAAACAATAATATAAAGCTTTTCCTAATGGTGTCCGCACGATTAATACATATTATGCTCTTTAAGTAGTCGTTTATAGTTTACAATAGTATGTGCTTCACGTATATGCAAAGATGGATGAGCATTCTAGAGTTTAATAGACTGCACAGTAAAATATTTATTAACAAATGATGTATTGTGAGTTGGTACTTAAATTAATTTTCTTGAAGAGCGTAGGGATTCCCCAGGAATCCCTTCAAAATTAAACTTCTCCTTTAGATAGGGAGGAGTTTCTACTCCTCCCTATCTCCCTTCTGGGTGAAATAATACACAGTACATAATAGAAAGAATAATATGCATGTTCCGGCGAAGTCGGATAGGTAATCACTTGAGACGTGAGCGAAATTGGGAAATAAGGTCAAATTTGCGAATCAAAACGCAGATGCGTTGTCAGCCGTGAGGACTAAAATGGAATGTCTCGTACCCAATAAAAAGGGTCTATGTGTATATGTGAACATGTTTTACTTTGTCTTTTATTATGTATTAGCAATTTATATTATTTCATGTATTAGTTATTTATATTAGTATTTTATTCCATATATTGTCAATATATCGCATGTATTGATATTATATTATGTATATTTATAGTGCACCACCTACCTAGTATTCGTTGTTTTATTCCTTTGCACCTTTGGTCGCCTAGTATATATAAGGGCGCCAAATTGTACATATAATCTGCTTTTTGTTATATTATTTGTATATTTGTTTGTGGTGTACAGTAAAGTATATTTTTTCATTCATTCATAATATTTCATAAGCAACACAAACAATTCATCTTCAAAATTCATAGAGGCGAGGCGGATCGTTTGTAATTCACATAAAGTACGTGCAATGGCAGGTGGGACCACGGCGGGCGCAACTCGTACCGCATGGGGGCGGAGGGCAAGTTCGATCTGAAGGTGGTGAGCGGAGGCGCGGGCGCGGGGGGCGGGGCGGGCGCCGGCCGCAAGAGCCACTCCACGCCCAGCCTGCCCGACGCCACCGCCGTCGACCACCAGGTAACGCGCATTACTCGCTACATTACGGGGCCTATATGAGTTCTGCCTAACTCATAAATAAAACAATTTATATATTAACTAATATATTTACTGCTCTTCAAAGTATTCTCTGTTACATTTCAAACACTTTTTGTATTTGTTCAAACCATTTTTGAAAACTAGGGCTATTGCCTCCACGATAGTAAATATTAGTGTTAAGGTAGAATAAGTTGTAGCAGTATAATTAAAGTTCTTGTATAAGCAACCCGTCCCTAATTCATTCAAGACCCTTCATATATCACATGCTGGTTGAAAGCTCTCGCGGAATCCTCTAGCTCTATAAATGTCAAACCTCTCATCAAATCTTTCAGTTTTGGGAAAATAAAGAAATTTCATGGCGTAAGACCTAAACGGAATAGACCACGAGCTCCACCGTTTCTCAAGCCAAAAATGACTGTCTTGTTCGCAAAGAGCATTAGAGTGCGAGTTTTAGTCGTTTTTTCCTAACTTTTTCAAAGACATTGGGCTAACAAATGTGGTGTACTAAGTGGTACATTTACTGTATTTCGCTTATTAAGTGGGACTGTGCAGACAGAACCCGTTTGTGAGAAAAAAAACACAATCAATTTTTTAGAGCGCAGAACTTTCAGTGTGCAGCGTACCCTATGCACTTCGCACACAATGACAATACTAAGGATTTAAAATTTGTGGTAGGAGCTCTTTAGATTAGATAAGTCACATAATTTTTATTTTTTAAGCGGAATTTAGCTAAATACTTTTAATATAATGAATTTCCGCGAAATAACGCCTGATTCTATTAATTATCGATAGAAATACCACTCTCGAATTGATATTTCGCTTCACATCGCACACAAACTAATGATTTATTGCACAATGTGAAGAATGTCTTTATGCACTAAAAACGAAGAGACCTTTTACACACCTAAAATTCATGAGACGTAATTGCGAATAAAAGCGATTTTGCTCATTTTTTACGTAACCGTAAAGCAGGGTTAGCCAGGTTGACTTTCTACATTTAAAGCCAATAAACAACTATAAAACTTACTTTGATAACTTTTTCTATTAGCGTAAAAGATTGTAGAAAGTAAAGTTGGCTTAACCTGCAAGTATTATTTCGTGTTTCCCGATTTGATATCTTTATATTTATGTATTTAGTACAATACAATAACGCCGCCTAATTACTATAAATTACAAATAATTATGAACGCTTACTTAGCAGTTTATTTTTTATTTTTCAAGAAAATATACATATTATACACGATATGGGTACTTCTTAGAAAAACAGAACATCGCATCGGCTTATTTTTTTGTTTATAATGGGCTCTTCTCAATAGGCTATTTATAGTTCACTCGCAACATTTTCCCGAACTAGTTACAATTTTGTAAAAACATGGTTTATATTTTTGATTTTGTTTCACTCAATATTATCATCGGTATAGACTCCGATGATATCTCCCTCCTCTACTAACATCTAATTGTGTTAAGTGATAATAAAATAAAACGAATTTAAATTTATCAGGTGTCTGTAGCCTCGACAGAGCAGGCTTCGTCCGCTGACAACATATCAAGCGAGGAGATGACCAGCAATATGACGCGCCCACGAATGCATGCCACTGAAGATGTATCTGCTATTAACAACTCCACACACCACATTAATACAGGTACTATTTAATTTGTATTTTCCCTAAAATTAATAAATTAGGAATGATAATACGTTCATGGAATTGAATGATGTTTAACTTTCAAATAAATTTGTCGGTAAGATACGCGCGCCACCTACTGTAAGTTTATTGTACTATGCCTATAACCTTCGCGCAAGTGCAAACAATAATTTGGCAAAGTTTTAACGCAATCTGATGAACCGTTTGACAGCACATAAAATATGAACAAACAAATGTAAATTTTAATTTATAAGGTATTGTTATTACATATGTTTGTTCCATATAGGTTTTACATCGGCTTTATTGCAATCTGATGAACCGTTTGACAGCACATAAAATATGAACAAACAAATGTAAATTTTAATTTATAAGGTATTGTTATTACATATGTTTGTTCCATATAGGTTTTACATCGGCTTTATTGCAATCTGATGAACCGTTTGACAGCACATAAAATATGAACAAACAAATGTAAATTTTAATTTATAAGGTATTGTTATTACATATGTTTGTTCCATATAGGTTTTACATCGGCTTTATTGCAATCTGATGAACCGTTTGACAGCACATAAAATATGAACAAACAAATGTAAATTTTAATTTATAAGGTATTGTTATTACATATGTTTGTTCCATATAGGTTTTACATCGGCTTTATTGTTTTTCAGATCTCGCCACGATAGTAGAATCACTAACACTTGGAGCGGAAGGCAACAATTGTTTAGCAGACTTAGGAAGTGCGTCATTTGCAAATATGGAAATGGGCCCGACAAGTATAACCGATATAACGAAACCATATCCCGCAAAAGAACCCCTCCCGGAAGCTAACATACAAGAGGTTTGTTAATAATCTTTATATAATTCTATAATGTTATCCTAACTAAATAATAAAATATTTCTTCATTGTAGGTATATGTAAGTATTCATTTCACATCACAATGCTCCATACTAACTAATATCATTATTCATTATTAGTTAAGGGGACTACAAGAGCTAAACAAAAGTCTTATAATGCCTTAATGTATATGATCCACTGCAGTAAACAAAATCAGAAAAATATATGATATTTTTCAGGATATACGCTAGTTAGATAGTGTGTTGAAAACATGATACTAATTTGATATGATAGAAAAAAACCATCACAAATACACCTCTATAAATTTCTTTTAACGATTAAAAACCATAATAATATACATGCAATTATTCGGATTTTTGTCAGATTATTCTACAAGCAACATATTAACGTAATAGTGTTTTAATTTGTAGTCAACTCAATAGATTTTTTTATCGCATGTGTGCGTTGTACGCGTCGTACCGGCGGGCACGCACAAAGTTGTACAGGCGTTGTACGCACAACGCGTACAAAGCCTGTGTACCGATAGTGCCTGCCGAAGCCTGACTTTATACAGAAATTGTGTAAATGTGTGCGTGCATCATTCGAGGTTACTTTAACTCTTGTAGTCCTCTCAAGTGCTTGAAACTTTTATTCTATACTAATCTGTATAATCTGTATTACAAAATGTTAGTTTCGTTCGTTCTCGAAAGTTATATTTATTTATTACAATACTTTATGTACTTATTGTTAAAAACTTTTTGCATTTATTCACGAAATTTTTTAACCCTCATTTAAAGTAATTGCATAGCCATTTGATTGTGTTTTCGGGTAGAATTGGCATTAAATCATAATGAAACTGATTATGGGTGGTGTTAACGCTATATTCACTTTCTCTGTTCGTTGCGCGGTGTTGCACTCACAGGAGAGTGAGGCGCAAAGCAACGACGATGACGCGATGCGCAACAGCACGAACGCTCTGTTGTCCAGCGAGTTGCTCCCTTTACCTGCATCCTTGCTACACACGTTGCGCAATAATGCTAACCGCCTGCACATACAGGTAAATACGCTATATCCCTCACAATACGCAACAATACTCCCATTTGTATATGCATATATATATACAGGGTTTACAGAGAAGGTTCACATTAAATAATGTAGGAAAACGGTGAAGAAAAATTAAATAAAAACATTCTTAAACATTCTGTCCTTTTTATCTTTTAAATACAAAATGCGTGGTAATGCATTATTTTAACTGCGCACACACATATTTGTAAGGGTCGATCGATAGGCAAAAACGTCGTTGCTCATAAATCACATTAAATTTGGGATATTTTCAAATAAAATTAGAAGCCTTATTTACTATTTTCAAAAACTGCAATAATGGTATATCATTATTTATATATTTGAACTTTGAGTTTAAAATTTGGCTACTCTTTCAAAACTAACCCTGTATATATATGTAGGTAAATGCGAGGTGTAGTGTAATAATATTTCTCACTACATGCAACAATGCCTATCTGCACATACAGGTAAACTCTTAACAAAACTCACCACCTTCACATACTGGTAAATGTTGTTTCTCTCTCTTGCAAGACTTCGTGATAATGAGTTTATTTTTTGTCAATGCTACTTTGCACATCATACAATTTTACTGCACCCTTTGTTATGTTTGTGTGTTATCACCGAGTGATCATAAATGCAGTGATAGGGTGAAACACATTTTGTTCTTTTACTGCCGCTCATTAATATGTGCGACGAAGCAAGTCGTCGTCTAAGTAACGCTAAGTGTATGTATACATTTTGATATATTATTCACAATTTATACTAACTATTAACAAGGAAATGGGTTTGTAAAATATACGTTCTTATTGTGCGGTGGTTATTTTTGCTTTTTACTATTTCTATTAATAAAAACTCAGGGTTCATTGAAAATTTGATTTGTAAATAATAATGTGTGTAAATTAACAACTTAATCATGTTCAATTATTTCAATAAAATGAAAAATGACTTAAAATTTAAATATTTATTCTTGAATTAATTAAACTCGTTATTATTATATAAATTATATATTTTAGAATCTATAAATAATTTCAAAGTCTATTAAAAATATGAAAACTACAGAAAATCACTATTATAAACATGCTGGTGGCCATGCTGATTTTGTAACCGTTTCAAGATTATTCATTTCTTTATTTTGATCCCATACATGACTATTGAGTTTTAATAAAATTAATAGACATTTACAATATTTTGTTTAAATATAGGTCAGAAATGCATGACAATAATTTACCTTCATTACCTCGAAATGGATCATCATCATCTAATAGGAGGCTGAATAAAGAGAGGGCAATGTATAGTAATTTGATCTTGCTTGTATTTCTTTGATTTATAATTTATTTGATTAATAATAATTCTAGCATTGAACATAGCTTTCTTACAAGGAAATTGCCTTCCTAAAGATTGGATTTATTTTAATTATCAACCGGTTAGGTATATGCATCAATTTATACTAAGTAAAGAACAATTATTTACACTACGGTGAAATGATTTTTAGCAATGGAACTTTTTTAAATCGGCCGTTTTTTTAATGAAAAATATCGAATTTTGAAAGGAAGATGTTTGCTTAATTCTAATAAATAATTACAATAACAGGTATAAATAATCGAAAATTCGAATAATACTATTGATCGATTGATGTCACACCACTAACAGTTATATTTTTGGTTAAGCGTGTTAAATTATTTCTTATTATAATATACTTTACATATTATTGTTTTCAAACAAATATATTGTATTTTAAATTATGTAACTCCATATGTAGTGCGAGGACAGCGAGAGCGGTGAAGGTCAGTTCAGTGATCACAAGAAAGACAATCAAGCCAGTGGCACCGGCACAATGAGCGCTAGTGAGCCGGATCTTACTCAACAGGTACAATTTTTTGGTATAATTTAGGGAATGCAATCTCCATCGCTAGAGATCTTGATTTAGCGAGATCTCTTCCAAAAGTTTTTTTTATTTATATTTTTAAAAAAATTGTGTTTACAAACACAAATTGCACAAGGACAAACATCCAGAACCGGAACAATTATTTGTAGACCATACAAATACTTGTTTCGTGCGGGATTCGAACCCGCGACCCCCAGCGCAGCAGGTCATTGCTAAACCACTGCGCCACGGAGCCGTTTTACAGTCCATATCATATACACTCACGCCTGTCACCCAGAGGGGTAGGCAGAGATTATACGTTTGGCACGATCCTGACACACCTCTCTTGCTTCATCCACATCCATATACCTACGCATACACGCTCGTCGGTTAAAGGTAGTCTTGATTTGGCCCATTTTCAATATATCGCCAATTTGGTCGATAAACTTTCGCCTAGGGCGACCCTTCCCGACTCTGCCGTTCACCTCTGCAACATAAATTTGCTTTGTCACTCTTTCCTCATTCATTCTTTCTACATGACCCAACCACCGAGGCATTCCTTTCTTAATCCTGGTCACAACATCATCTTGCAAACCACACTCTTCTCTTATCAAACAACTTCTCACTCTGTCATTCAGATTCATCCCTAACATACTCCTTAATGTTTTACAGTTATATTGCTTTAATGTTGAATGTAATAAATATTGTATAAGTTAGGTTTAGCTTTCTAAAGAAACTTTATATTGAGTGTCTAACACAAACATCATTTTGTACCTATGATGATATACATGTGGTGTTCAAATATCTTTAGAAATTGTTAAAAATTAAAAATTCACGTGGTTATGTCATCTGATCTAGTGAAAAAATGTAAATGTACATAAGTACAGTAAATGTACATAGATGCTATTTGGACGCTACGGCGTGTACGATGCGGATGTAGGTGCACAAGATATGAATTAACAGTACGAGGATGTCGGGTCTGCGTTTTAGTGTGTTGTGTCTCAAAGTAATGCATGTCAGTTTGCGAATTTTTATGGAACTTTATGGAATTTTAAAGGATGAACATTTATTGATAGGTGAACATTTATTTACTTTCTAACTTGTGAATTATGAGAATTTACACAAAATAATGCCGTATTGGTTTGCTCCTTAATTGCTTATTCATTCTTAACTTTTTTTTAAATTCTTTTATTTTAGCATTATGCATTGTGTTATATATTTCTAATGTCATAATTATCATGATCATTACAGCCCGTCACAAGTCTACTGCTGAATATAGGCTTCCCCTATGGAATGCCACTAGCACGGTGTTTAGCCAGCTGCACCCATTGAATGTAATGAATGCAAAATGTAACTAATATTTTAAAAGGAAATTTTTATACTTTTCTAACAATTGTGACTTCGCTGTTCCGAGATCTGTCAAATATTGCACCTCATTCCTTAGGTGTGCCGCTTTCGTGGTAGAACAATTGTAGATTACATTAGAGATAGGATTCATTGACATGGAGTAAGTAAAAATAAAAAATAAAGTTACAGCCTATGTACGTTTCACTGCTGGGCACAGGCCTTCTCTCATTTCTGAGAGGGTTTTAGGGCAAAGGAAATGTCAACCGCGCTGTCCCAATTCGTATTGGTCAACTTCACATGTCTTCGAAATATCTTTTTTTTCTTATTTATCAGACATGTAGGTTTCGGCACGATGTTTTATTTTTACTGCCGAGCACGTAGTAAAATTGCACTTAAAATCGGAATTAACAATTTCATTGGTGCCTGTGGGGATCGAACCCGGGTTACTCGCGTACTGTGAAATCTATAGCGAGCGCTTAGCCCTGAGCCTGCGCGATATGAAGTAGGTGTAATGAGTAGTAGTAAGGCTAAGTAAATTTGGCCGCGCGGTACAAGATCAAATAAATGGCAATTATCGTCTACATGAGCGCGCGGCGCGGTCCGCCCTGCGCGCAAGATATATGCCGTCATGTGAATGCTCCAACCGCGCGGTCATGTAAACTTAGGCTAAAGAGAGCACATTGTGCAGTGCGGGCAGGGCGCGGCGGCGGCGCGGCTGCTGGAGTCGCTGGGCGTGGCGCGCGGCGCCGCGCGAGCGCCCGCGCCCCCGCGCGCCGCACACGCCGCGCACGCCCGCCACAACCACTCCGCCGGACTCTTCCCCAGGTACCGCACACCGCACCGCACGCTTACACTGCTTTCTACAGTTACTCATATACATATATTCAAGTAATATCTATTATATACTACAACAGACAAAACTTGCTTGTTTGCAACACACGTTAAAGCTCAAACTTTGTGGCATAAACATGTACTCTGTGCATCCGACCACGTGCCTTGCACTGCTGCACAGATATTGTTTGCGATGTCTCTTCTAGTAAGTAGTACATACTCCTTCAATGCATATAGATAGATGTTTTATCTCACAAAGGCGGGTCTTGCTCTGCTGCTTAGTAAACGACACATTAATTATTGTTTTACATCACTGCATTCAACTTTTTATTTTTATTTTATGATCTGTTATCATCATGTTGTTTTAGTTGCCAGATGGACAAAAATAATGTAAATTTCAACTAAATTTCTACTTAAGAAATATTATTTTGTAGTTTCGCATTTGCTATTAGAGTACGTAAATAAAATGTTTTTTTTTTTGTATTATCTATTGACATATTAAAACTTGTGATCATTTTAGTCTAGGACATAGTGTTACTAATTTTATTAGGTTTATATTATATACATTATTGCTTTAACTTTTATCACAATTAATATTTACAGTTTGGTTCGACTGGCGCTGTCAAGTAATTTTCCTGGTGGCTTATTGTCAGCTGCACAAAGCTATCCCTCACTGGCGCCCAATGCACAGAATGCCCTTACGTTATCATTGACCTCTACTTCAAGTGAAAGTGAACAGGTGAATAAACGATCTGTTTTTCATATTGTGAAACAAACATAATATATCCATTCTTAAAATTAATCCCTTAAAATTTAACACATTACAACAAGTACAGCTTTTTTAAATCAACTGCTGTGCACAGATCTTCTCATCTAACATCAACTTTTTGTCACCAAAATGCGTTATTTGAAGATATAGCCCTTACCAAGCTCGGCAGGCTGGTTAGTGCATAGCCATTGAGTTATATGTACTACGTACTAGAGAAGCCTTTCTAAACAAAAAATGTGTACTACTCTATGTCTTCGCGCATGCGCGGGAGATAGTAAAGTCGCGCATGCGCAGTTGATATAAGCGCGTTGCGCCTGCGCGGTCAGTTTATATAAAGAAATATATTATTTCATGATTTTATCTTTTGTAATATTACGATATTATTACCTATTTATTCACTTGAACAACAAATAATTTTACTTACTTGATTACTGAATTGTTATTTTACGTCCAGGTTTAAACTTTAATTTGAAATCTTGTATTATTAGCGCCGCTCCACATGCATGAATATTGAAACCACAGCCTAACTAGTAGATTAAAACCACACTAAATGACACACTGTACGAATTGCGGTACAGTTCAGTTGAATATAGTGTATGTTCGGAATGCGCAATCTAGTACGTAGTACATATATATATCGATGTGCATAGCCGATAATCTAGTACTTGTGATGCTGCTCTACATCAAGTTTGTGAAATATGAGCTCAGCGTTTTTGGATTGATTTTCCACCTTTTTTTTATATATTAATAGGTTACTTTTGTAATAGGTTTCACTAGAAGATTTCTTGGAATCTTGCCGAGCACCCGCACTTTTAACAGAGCTGGAAGACGATGATGAAGCTGACGATGCACTCGATAGTGACAAAGAAAACGATCCCACTTATCAAGAGGTAATTTTAAGCTTCATAACAAAATCTTAATTTATTAATCATTATTTGCTGTCCTAATATCTAGTTTGGGAAGCATTTTATACTAAAAATATTTATTTTGTGATTTTTTTTCGTACTAAAGACTTCTAAATTAAAACCGTAATTGTTCATATAAATATTGCAGGTATCACGCAACCTGCTGTCGCTGATGGAGGAGGAAGCACTGGAAGCGGTACGCAGCGGGGGCGGGGGTGGGGGCGGGGGCGGCGGGTCGCGCTCGCGCAAACCGTGGGACGATGACTTCGTGCTCAAGCGCCAGTTCTCCGCGCTCATACCCGCCTTCGACCCGCGCCCCGGCAGGACCAACCTCAACCAGACCGTCGGTATGTAAATTGCATATTATTTGTTCCGTGGTAAGGTTGCAATTACAATGGCGTCAAGTGATGGTGTATTTTTTTATCTAATAGCCAATATTATATTGTACACACTGTTTTTAATATAAATAATTGATTAATCCAACAAACCTTAGTTTATAGAATTTAGATTAATTTCATGTATAATACATATGATTACTTATAGGCTAACTTAACATATTGAGGTTAATAAAAACTAACGCACAATAAAGTTGAAAAGCAAAAAAAAAAGGATTATTACTGTTATACATGGGCTGGTGGAGCAAAATGCGACCTAAAAGCTTTGGAATTTACCACCTGCGCCTATATTACCATCAGATGGGTTAATAATCAAGCACTGGCTTATAGTGGTTAAAAAAAACGTTGTTTATTACTACTAAGCCCCTGACATGATAAAGCGGAAATCTGTAGATAGTATTGTAAACCTTTACCAATTAAGAGTATGCAAACCATGATGGACAAACATGAATCAAACAACCGATATTTATTAATTGCTCTCTCCATTCACCCTCCGATATACATTCTACATCATTTCCCCAAAATAATATTCTTATTTACACTGTACAATGGACTGTCTCAAATTATCAGTACCCTTCTATTGGATTCTAGTATGTATATTTTTATTGTATTTTATTTCATTAATGTTAATAAAATCAAATAATTCTATTCAGATCTCGACATCCCCCTCAACGACGATTCCGACGTGGAGGAGAGCTTGGACGAAGCGAACGGCAATGTTGTCAACGAGAGCAACGCCAACGCCAACGCCAACGCCAACGCCAATGCCAACGCCAACGCCAATGCCAATACCAACACCAACGCCAACAGTAACAACACAAGCAACACGGCTTCACGGATGCCCGTGCTGCGGCTCGTTCTGAGTTCCGGCGGTGTGTCGTTGCCGCTGGACCGTCCCTCGTGGACGCTGTATCGCGCCGTGCTCGCACTTAACTCTAAACTGTCTGCTCATGATACGCACAGGGACGCCACATACACGTGAGTATCGCCGCTTATTTCAATTATTATAATAATTTATATTATTACTAGTAATGTAGTAGAATTTTAAGGTATATTTTTAAATATAATATAGCGATGCGATGATAATTTCATAATAAATGAGAACTTTACCATTAATTGTTCCTCAAAATATTTTAAAGTTATATGAGTATTTTATATCTGTAGCATATCAATAATATTAATGATAGGTGATTGATATTAGTGGTAAGTTATTGTATAATCAATTTCTGTGTTACATGCATAACCCTTCTAATAATAGGTTAATTGAAATGGTTACACTTTCAGATTGACTTACAAGGAAATCGAGGGGACGGATACTTTTGCGTCGTCTAGTGATAGTGAAGATGACGAACCTTGTGATCCAGGTAATTATTATGATATTTTATATTGTAAATAGATAAGGAAGACAATTAAGCTAGGATCCGTGTGAAAATGTGTCTTACCTAATTTGTAAAACACCTTCAATTGCTTGTACTATCACCTGTTTAAGCTAGCATTAATAACATTATACGTGTTTCTCTTCTAAACGAGGCATGATCAGGAGAAATAAATTCTGCGATGGTTGACCGCTAAGCGTTTCCTTTTTATATTTCTCGCGTATCTAATTACTTTTGACAACTTTAATATAATAGATTTGTTCAAAGTTAAGCCTGATTCCATTAAACAAATCAAGTTTGTTAATTTTAGTGATAATAGAGAAAATCACCCAGATAAAAACTTAAAATTATTATAGAGTAGGCCAATTTATGTTGGAATAATTATAATATTTTTTGACATAGAGATTACTGAAGCTTCTTATGCTTTTTAGCCATGATATCAGTCAAAATGCTTTTAACAAGTAAGTTATTTAAAAACCGGATGTAAGAATGCACTTAAATCAAATTGGGTACACTATTATTGCTATATAATGTAGCCTAAACTCTGGAGATAACGACTAATCTGACGACACCTTAAACCTTCAAAAATCCGTCATGCATTTTTAACCTACACACGAAAAACAAATGTTTATCACCATAATTACTTGTACTAGAGCGCGGAGTAGCGTGCTGCGAGGGGGCGGAGGGCGACATGGTGACGTGCTGCGTGCGCGCGCTGCGGCGTCTGCGCAGCGTCGCGCCCGAGCTGCCGCCCGCAGCCTTCCTCTCCACCAAGCTCACCAACAAGCTGCACCAGCAGCTGCAGGACCCGCTCACGCTCGCCGCCGGCGCCGCGCCGCACTGGTAACGTACCGCGCCGCGCTGCCGCCCGCAGCCTTCCTCTCCACCAAGCTCACCAACAAGCTGCACCAGCAGCTGCAGGACCCGCTCACGCTCGCCGCCGGCGCCGCGCCGCACTGGTAACGTACCGCGCCGCGCTGCCGCCCGCAGCCTTCCTCTCCACCAAGCTCACCAACAAGCTGCACCAGCAGCTGCAGGACCCGCTCACGCTCGCCGCCGGCGCCGCGCCGCACTGGTAACGTACCGCGCCGCGCTGCCGCCCGCAGCCTTCCTCTCCACCAAGCTCACCAACAAGCTGCACCAGCAGCTGCAGTACCCGCTCACGCTCGCCGCCGGCGCCGCGCCGCACTGGTAACGTACCGCGCCGCGCTGCCGCCCGCAGCCTTCCTCTCCACCAAGCTCACCAACAAGCTGCACCAGCAGCTGCAGGACCCGCTCACGCTCGCCGCCGGCGCCGCGCCGCACTGGTAACGTACCGCGCCGCGCTGCCGCCCGCAGCCTTCCTCTCCACCAAGCTCACCAACAAGCTGTACCAGCTGCTGCAGGACCCGCTCACGCTCGCCGCCGGCGCCGCGCCGCACTGGTAACGTACCGCGCCGCGCTGCCGCCCGCAGCCTTCCTCTCCACCAAGCTCACCAACAAGCTGCACCAGCAGCTGCAGGACCCGCTCACGCTCGCCGCCGGCGCCGCGCCGCACTGGTAACGTACCGCGCCGCGCTGCCGCCCGCAGCCTTCCTCTCCACCAAGCTCACCAACAAGCTGCACCAGCAGCTGCAGGACCCGCTCACGCTCGCCGCCGGCGCCGCGCCGCACTGGTAACGTACCGCGCCGCGCTGCCGCCCGCAGCCTTCCTCTCCACCAAGCTCACCAACAAGCTGCACCAGCAGCTGCAGGACCCGCTCACGCTCGCCGCCGGCGCCGCGCCGCACTGGTAACGTACCGCGCCGCGCTGCCGCCCGCAGCCTTCCTCTCCACCAAGCTCACCAACAAGCTGCACCAGCAGCTGCAGGACCCGCTCACGCTCGCCGCCGGCGCCGCGCCGCACTGGTAACGTACCGCGCCGCGCTGCCGCCCGCAGCCTTCCTCTCCACCAAGCTCACCAACAAGCTGCACCAGCAGCTGCAGGACCCGCTCACGCTCGCCGCCGGCGCCGCGCCGCACTGGTAACGTACCGCGCCGCGCTGCCGCCCGCAGCCTTCCTCTCCACCAAGCTCACCAACAAGCTGCACCAGCAGCTGCAGGACCCGCTCACGCTCGCCGCCGGCGCCGCGCCGCACTGGTAACGTACCGCGCCGCGCTGCCGCCCGCAGCCTTCCTCTCCACCAAGCTCACCAACAAGCTGCACCAGCAGCTGCAGGACCCGCTCACGCTCGCCGCCGGCGCCGCGCCGCACTGGTAACGTACCGCGCCGCGCTGCCGCCCGCAGCCTTCCTCTCCACCAAGCTCACCAACAAGCTGCACCAGCAGCTGCAGGACCCGCTCACGCTCGCCGCCGGCGCCGCGCCGCACTGGTAACGTACCGCGCCGCGCTGCCGCCCGCAGCCTTCCTCTCCACCAAGCTCACCAACAAGCTGCACCAGCAGCTGCAGGACCCGCTCACGCTCGCCGCCGGCGCCGCGCCGCACTGGTAACGTATCCCGTTGCGCCACATTGCGCCATTAATGCACTGTTTCTTACTGCTGACGTACCGCGCCGTACTGATACGTATCGCGCCGCACTGCTGACGTACCGTGCCACAGTGATAACGTACGAATGCAAATTTTGCCTTTGATTTTGAACAACAGATTCAATTCAAAAAATTTCACGACACGTTAGAGTTGAAACGACATAATGTTGGGAGGGCCCGTATACTGTAGAAATGCACAAATATTTGACTATATATGAAGTCCGTAAGCCAGTACTGGAACAGCATGGTGAATTCTTCTCAGCTTTATTATCTTTTAAAATAATAAGTTCATGTGCAATACATCATTATTTTCTTGACAGGTGTCAACAACTGAACGACTGGTGTCCGTTCTTGTTCCCACTGGAGACGAGGCAGATGTTTTTCGCTTGCACAGCTTTCGGCACTTCCCGTACTATTGTCTGGTTGCAGGCGCAACGTGACCGCGCATTAGATAGACAAAGGTATTTGATTTGATTGATAAATATTTCACACTATTGTTAAATTAAGTGATGTGCATATGTATCAGTAATATTTTGTTCGCCTCAGTTTTAGCATTCCTATACAGAGGATCTTTTTTATCACACAGATCAAACGTTGGAAAATAAAGACTATACTAGATGAAAATAATTTATAAATAATAAAACAAACACGCAGATATATAGGTAGCATGCTAACAACAGCATATAATATGTATGTAGTGAAAATATTTCTATAATAGAATTTAGAAATGTACGTTTATGAAATTACATATTTGTGTCAGAGCGGGTAACACGGTGTCACCGCGGCGCGCTGAGATCGAGGCAACGGAGTTCCGAACAGGACGTTTACGTCACGAACGAGTGCGCATACCACGACAGCCCAACTTATTGCGTTCTGCGATGCAGGTTTGTTAATTTGTACTTCTTCCAGACTTTCTTTCGGCTCGTGTGTGTGAATACCAGGTGGTCGGAGGCCCCCCCCCCTCCCAGCAACATGGTAGCGGAATTAAACGGAATACTACCCCAGGAGGGTACCAGCACCCCTTGAGAATCCCTCGCTGAGCGTCCACGACCAACCTACTTCACTCCTGAGCGTAGGTGCTAGTAGTGTAACATGAGGGGACTTCGTTCCAACCATAACGCTGTCCACTACCATTGGGAGACGGCGAAGCCGGCCTTGCTCCTTTTAACTGAGACTCAGGTGTCCTCTCCGGCTGATTCTTCATATCTCTTACCCGGGGTACAAATTAGAACACTCCTTTGTGCCCCGGGCAGAAGTTTGCGTATACGTCATTGCGTACCTATTCATCCTATGGCTGCACGTCGACAGCGACAAACATCCCCGCGTCTCGTCCCACAGCGGTAATGCCGTAACAGACATACTCATCGAGCACGTCCAAATGGCTACAGATTCCTTGTTACAGCAGATCCCATCCGCAAAGATCGTGATCCTTGGTGATTTTAACGCCCACGACGCCGAATGGTTCGGTTCACGTTCAACTAATCATGCGGTGAGATCTGTTTATAACTTGCCTTGGCATATGGTCTTACACAGCTGGTTACTTCGTCTACGCGGATTCCAGATGTGGAGGATCATCCCTGTTGGACCTTCTGCTGACCTCTCATCCGTACGGATATCAGGTTTTCGTCGACGTTGCTTTAGGCTCGTCGGACCATTGTCTTGTCCGGAGTGTGGTGCCACTCACATTAACGTCCCGGTTGCATTCTGCAGGCTGCCGCTATGTTTGGCACTATAGGTCGGCCGATTGGGATAAGATGCGGTCTTTTTTGTATCCTACCCTTGGGCGGGTTTGCTTCTCGCCGGAGGATCCCAGCGTTTTTCTGTTACTTCAGTGTATGGAACTTTTTATTCCATCCTCAGTGGTGCCCATTGGAGTCAGATCCCAGCCATGGTTTGGTCGCTCCTGTAAAATAGCAACACGCTATAAGCAGAAGTGCTACCGGTCTTGGGCTGACCCATCAACGTCTCGGCATGTAAACACCAGCGTTCTTAAAAAGAAGTATAATTCCGCCTCCAGGTCCTTCAAAAGGTTCATAGCCAAGGCAAGGTCTGAGCACATCGGCAGAATTGGTGAGAAGCTAGTTCACCTTCCTTTGGGAACCCCTGCATTCTGGTCTCTCGCCAAGGCTGTCCAAGGCAACTGCTGCCAGCCATCTCTTCCATCTCTTCCATCTCTCTCTTTGCGTCCAACTCGACTCTCGATGACGGGGAACACACCGCCGACCATCCCGCTTTGTGAGTGCTCGATGCCGGATGAGCGGTTTACACAGCGCTCGGTTCGCAAAGCACTACTTTCCCTGGACGTCAGCAAGTCGAGTGGGCCTGATGAAGTCCCTCCCATTCTGCTGAAGACGTGTCTCCGGAGTTGGCACCGGTTTTAACGCGTCTTTTCCGGTACTCCTACTCCCAAAGCGTAGTCCCGAAATTATGGAAAACAGCTTTGGTCCACCCGATCCCTCCCGCCATCACCTCCTTGTGCTCCAAAATAATGGAGTCCACTATAAACTCCCAACTCATGCGGTACCTTGAGGATCACCAGCTGATTAGTGATCGCCAATACGGTTTTCATCAGGGTCGGTCAGCTGGTGATCTTCTGGTCTACCTGACTCATAGATGGGCGGAGGCAGTAGAATCCAAGGGGGAGGCATTAGCTGCTAGTTTGGACATAGCGAAGATCTTCGATCGGGTCTGGCACAAAGTGCTTCTTTCAAAGCTCCCTTCCTATGGGCTTCCAGAGAAATTGTGCAATTGGATCACCAGTTTCCTTTCTGGTCGGAGCATCAAGGTCCTAGTAGACGGTGAATACTCTGATTATTGGCTGCGTGCTATCACGAACGCCGTTTCTTTTGCATATCAATGATATGTTGCAAACTGGTGGTAACATTCATTGCTATGCAAGCGACAGCCCTAGTGATGTATTATACACCGGCCGTGCCAATATTTCTCAGGAAAACGTCGCCAAGTACCGGGACAAACTTGTGTCTGAAGTCGAGTCTTTGCTGAACAAAGTTTCTGATTGGAGGCTACTTAACTACTTAACTTCTAGTCCAGTTCAATCCCAGAAGACACAAGTTTGCGTGTTTACCGCTAAAAAGACCCCATTTGTCGTATCTCTTCAGTTTCAAGGCACCCCCCTTGCTGACTCGGCTAGCATCGGAATCCTCGGCGTCCACATATCGAATAGTGTGCAGTTTCGTGGTCACTTAGAAGGGAAGGCCAAATTAGCCTCTTTAAAGCTTGGCGTGCTCAGCAGGGTTGGACGGTATTTCATACCGGCACATCACTTGCAACTTTATAAAGGCAAGTTCGGCCTCACATGGAATACTATTCTCATCTCTGGGCCGGGGCACTCCAGTGCCAGTTCCTTCCACTTGACCGTATCCAGCGCAGAGTGGTTCGTTCTTTTTGATCGGCTCGATTCACTGGCGCTGCGTAGGGGTGTTGCATCCCTTTGCATTTTCTATCGAATCTACTATGGGTAGTGCTCTGAGGAATTGTTCGGATTAATTCTAGCCGCCATCACGAACGCACATCGCGTCAAAATTCATGATACCATCCTCAACACTGGGTGCTTAGCGGTCCACCACCGTGCGTTTTATTAGGAGTTTTCTTCCTTGTACAATTTCTATGTGGAATTATTTACCACCGATAATTTTTCCGAACCGATACGATTTAGGAACCTTCAAGAAAAGAGCTTATACCCTTTTAAGAGGCTGACAACGCACCTGCAATTCCCCTGGTGTTGTGGTTGTTCATGGGCGGTGGTAGTTCTTACCATCGGGTGAGCCGCATGCTCGTTAGCTCCCTCATCTAAAAAAAATTCCTACACATATGGCTCTACCATAATAATTAGTCGCATTTCACACCTTTCACGCTGCTACCTGAAGCCGGTTTGGTGTTTTCGTCTCTTTTATTAGTCGGTAACAGGGTAAGGCAAGGTCTCCCATTAGTAGGGACGTTTTGTCATAATCGCCACGCTTGGTAGGCGGATTGGTGATCGCAGTATCGAAAAAAGAAGAAAGAAAAGAAGGGAAAAAGCATTTATTTTGCAACCATAGTATACTAGAAAAGCCTTTGACTTTGACTTTGCTTCCATCGTCAATCTGGGTATTTTAAGTCATATCTTATAGAACTGTACAATCATGTAACATTATTTTGTGTGTAGTGCATTGGGAAAAAAGACTTGACTCTGCTTATTACTGTAGTGGAGACTACAGCGCTAGTTTTCAGTGGGCCCGAGGGTCGTATTAGAAGTAACTGTATAAATCAGGTTTGTTAATCGCGCGCAGGTGATGCGCGTGCACGCGGGCCGTAAGTCGGTGCTGGAGGTGGAGTTCGCGGGCGAGGAGGGCACGGGGCTGGGGCCCACGCTGGAGTTCTACGCGCTGGTGGCGGGCGAGCTGCAGCGCGCCGACCTCGCCATGTGGCTGCAGGACGCGCCCGCCCACGTGCCCGCGCCCGCGCCCGCGCCCGCACCGCTCCACGGTCAGCTGACATGCATTTTTGAAGTGAAAACTTCTTTAGAACCGTTGTCATTTGAAACTCGATGAAACCAAAAAGCGACGCTAAAAAGAGACAAACATACATCTATAGGATTTAGCCTGCGAGAAAATGACAAAGAATATAGTACACAGTGTTTTCTATTATATCGGTATCTTTGCGCGCTGCTTAAGTGTTAAAATAAAGTTAAAAAAATATTCAATAAATAAAATTAACCATATTCAATAAAATTATCATATTGAATCCATTGATAACAATCCACGATTTCATAACTTATATAATTATTATATACGTGGTAGAGCCATGCTGCAGCTATATTACTGGTATATTTGTAGCACGAATGGGTCGGTTCAAACGGGGAAGGACCACACTCTCACAGAATACCAGCGTAAAATGGCAGCTTAACGCTGCTGTGTTTCGTATGGTGAGTGTAGAGAACCGGAGACCCTTTTTACTGGAAATGATACATTCCATCTTAGTCCTCAAGGGTGACAACGCGTCCGCATTTTGATTCTTAATTGAAGATAAATGTAGATGTCTATAGGCCACAGTATCCACTTACCATCAGGTGGACTGTGTGCTCGTTTGTCACCCTAATTCTATAAAAAAAAATTAGTCTGTGATGATAGATGTTTATGCCATCTAGCGTCTATTTTACGTACCACCTTAAAGCCGCGTATCGATTATGCACTCCAAGAGATCGAACATTGGCGCGTGCTCCATACGCGCAAAATGGATACCGCCTTGGAACGCGCGCCAATTTGTTCGTTGGAACGCTCAAACGTGCAACGAAGCAATGTAGTTAAGTTTTGGCGCGCCAGTTGGGACGTTTGTTCTCATCTTTCGTGTGTTCGTTGCGTTCCGAGCTATGGATAACCAAAGTTGCCGTAAATTGATAAAATTATATGATTCAAAATAACTGCTGTGGAATAGCAAAAGTAGTTTTTACAATAATAAAGCACTCAGAGAAGATGCATAGAACTATAAAAGCGGCAGCTTCTCGTACACGACCGACATCCATATTGATCGGTCAAACTCTGGAATGGCGTGCTTAGTTAATAGACTTCGAATATTTGAGCACACTGGTCGGCGCGGTCATATATGGCGCGCGCGCCAGGAGCGCGTAATCGATACCCGGCTTAAGAGTTATTATTTTTTATTCGTTCAAATGACTACCTATAGAATGAAGTAGATGGCGCTATTACAAAGCAATTTTAATCGCAATTTTGTAAAGGTTTCACTTCCACCGCGTGAGAACTACACACATGTTTTTTATTTATTCTTTACTAGCTGTTCCTCGTGGTTTCACCCGCGTATATTACGTGTATGAGCCGCGCAACATGACATGACACCTAGTTCAAGCATTTTAGAGATAAAAATGAATGGAAAAAATGATAAAATTATTGGAGAAAATTATCAAGGATCATTTCGTACCTACACACTTTTCATCTATTGTCTACTCCATTAATTTTGCGAATTTTTTAACCTAAAAGGATTGAAGTAACCTCGCCCATAGAAGCGTTTTCTGCTCGTTTCTCTCGGTTCTCATCGTGCGGTTAGGGTTTATGCGTCATTCGCGCGCCGATCCTAGTGTCGAATTATTTTAATTTTTCGTTATCTCTTAAACTATGCGCCCAAATAACATTCTATAAAAAGCAAAGATTATCTTGATGATGAAGTAACTTTCGTTCGTAAGGATTAATACGCCATACCTAATAATAACGCCCATAAATCACTTTATAATTTTAAATATTTTTTTGTCACAACATACCTTATTGTGGCTTATGTATAAGAAATAGGCATATGGTATCACGGAAATATGTTTAGACAATATTTTTATAGAACATTGTATTTACGTATCACTAACATTACGTCAGCGCATGCAGATAAATCATTTCGGGAGCGTTTTTTCTTCTGACTTGCTTAGCAATATAATATGCTTATTAATATAGATTTTTAATTATATGACCTTGGATTATATAAAAGGAAAACACGTTATCATGTAATTTTCTCGATAGGAAATTGTAAAATAGGCTCTAATTAGTTACATTTCTCCATACCACCACAATGTTTTTACGAATAGGTTAATGAAATGACTTTCAAAGCATAGTAAATAATCATATCTAAGTTAACATAAACCATTTTTTGTATACATAACGAAGTTTTCTTAAAAAAAAGTACTTTGGCGCTTACTTAGTTTATTTCCGAGCGCGTGCTGGATATAGCTATCTCATAATTTGCGTACATGAAGTAATCACACATCACATCACTTTCATTTTGACACTCCCTTAGTCGTCCTTGAGCTTCACCGACAAAGGGCTAAGCCACGCCCTCAAAACAACTATTCATTTTCAAGGTATCCTCTTAACGATATAATAATCGCAATTGTATGCGAGCGCAAGTGACATGTGAAACGTAAACAAGATGGAATGCAGTTATAAAAGACTGCGACGCGAGCGCAATACCTTCTTTTGTGTCCTCGTTCGCATTTAATTTAACTCCTTAAAATTGCATTTCGCGATAAGGCGCATTTAAGGTTTGCGCGGAATCGCACTACACTCAACGCATTTATTTTACTGTATATCATTACAACAAGATTACAGTACTCGCCATATTATTTATTTTTAATTAATATTATTCCATTCAAAACCAGCCAAGTCTTTTGTCAGGTTCGGATATTGTATATACAACTTGGCCAAAACAATTAGGCGCATGACAGGTATGCGGTTTCGGCGCCCGCACCCTGCCTCTATTCCCGCGCTTCCCTTAGTGACCCATCACCGTTCCGGTGTTCCCTCCATAGTTCTAATGACGTCTTAACTATCATGTGCCTAATTGTTGTGGTCACGTAGTACAAATATAATGTAAACACAGTTATACCACCTTACCTTACTAAAAATGTTTTCTTTAATTTTTTTATTGCAGAGGCAGAGAAACCCCCCGGTTACTATGTTACGCATGCCGGAGGTCTGTTTCCCGCGTCACTTCCTCAAGATTCTCCTATCTGTGATAAAGTTTGCAAATATTTTTGGTTCCTAGGAGTATTTTTAGCTAAGGTAATGCATACTCAATAGCTGTGTATACTGTTCTTACCATATAGATTTTTTGAATTTGTTCTTTAATTGGGAAACATTTTAGGTGCTGCAAGATGGGCGGCTAGTAGACTTACCATTATCTGAGCCTTTCTTGCGACTTATGTGCGGTGAAGAGTTGACATCAGAGCATCTAAAAGAAATCGATCCGATAAGACATAGGTACGTTAAATGGTGCACTTTGTTTCAAGTTGCTAACTTTAAAAAGGGTTTTTGTCTGTATAAATTGAAATGTAAATTTAATTGTTTAAATTTTGTTGACATAATCAGCCATTTAGAATAGCAGAATTAAATATGGTTCAATCACTTTGTTATAGGTTCCTAGAGAAAGTTTTGCTTGCGGCGGATGAGTATGACGTTATCATGTCTGACTCTTCACTAGAAGAGAGTGAACGTCAGCGACGAATCCAAGAGATAACCGTAGAGGGCGCCACATTCGAGCAACTAGCACTCACGATGACTCACGTTGCCGCCAATGCAGATCCCGATGTAGCAGTGCAGCCGCTTTGTGATAGCGGTGAACACATCGAGGTTAGTCATTCAAATATACTACTAGCAGGGTTAGCCAAATTCACTTTCTAAAATCATTAACGCTAATTGAACACTATAAAATAGCTAAAATCAGTAAATAAGTCATGTGACTTAACATTGTCATTCCCATTCTTTTTTTTTTCCCAATTGTACGATTATTAAGGAAACAACTAGACTAACCCCGCTGGATTTTTGTGGTCGCATAAGAACAAAGTATATGTATATATTGTAACGAATAAGTAAATACATTTTACGTGACAAAAAATTGTATAATTCAAGATGTAATGGGGTTGTTATAAACTAATTTGCATAATTCCGCGTAAAGAAAGAAAAAAAATGATGTGTCCTGCCCAGTTTTAAGGGGACCTCCCACCCTCCCTCAATCGCGCGCACTATACCCGTCGCCATCAATCTCAGCACTACCGTCACCAGCACCACCATACTAGGCACGACTCACCACTCTCGAAAATACGACACTTGTTTCGCCTCTACACGAGGATCCTCAGGTGAAGTAGACTCTGCGGAGGCTGGCCGTGTATATGATGTATCCCTCAGATTAATTACTGCGTTGCAGTTACAGTTAAGTGAGGCTAATGAGCAGATTTTGCAATTAAAACAATACATAGATAACTTGAAAGCGTCCAAACTCAAAGTATGTTCAGTGAACCCATAGAATGTGAATCTTATAAAGCATTGCAACCCTCCACAACAATCGATTTAACTGGTGATGGTTATGTCACATCAAGAACAGCAGCAAAGACTACCTGCAGTAGAAAAAAATTAAAGAAATACATAAAAATTAATTAATATATTAGAAAACTGCAAAAGTTAATTAAAACTTAAATTAATGTTAAAAATTATATAAATGTATGTAAGGAGAAGCAAGAACTAATTAATAAACTTAAATTATATTCAATTGAGGTGGCAAATATGAATAACTGTTATGAGACTGATATTGAGTGTCTAAATTCAAGAATTTTGTCACTTAAAAACTCCCTACAAATTATATTAAAATTTATTTGTTCTTTTATCTCATCCTGAGCCGATGCATGCATCTCATCCTGAGCCGATGCATACTCAGGATGAGGTAAAAGAACAAATGTTGGCCATGAATGATCTGGTAAAGTCATGTAAATAATCAATGTCAATGTAAATTTGGGCATGATGTTAAATAACTGATTAAAAGGACATCTGCTCAGTAATTATTGCATGCCTGCAGCATTCTTTAGTCATATATAATGAATAAAGTGTTAGCTAGCAAATTTTGCCATAATATCTCACTAATAATTCTTGTTGAGACAAGAGGCAATGTAAACCAAAATCCATTATTAAAATATATTGATTATCTAAATACTCTAAATGTACATAAAATTATCTTGTTTACATTGCCTTACATACAGGGTTGGACACAGGAAAATAAAATATGATTTAAATTTATTAATGAATAACTTTTCATGTACTTAATAATAATTATAATTAATTTAATAGACATAAATAATTTAATTAAGAAATTTTTGACTAGAGAAAGATATTACCTCCAAATATAATTTAAGACAGATAGCAAATGTGTTATCTATTGTTTATAATATATTAACTCGGCCAAGCTTAGCTACACAGATATTTGCTGCTATTAACCACCATAATTACTTAATATGTAATTTGGAATCAGTTCCAAGTAATTTAAATTAGAAAATGAGACAATAGAGGTAATCTGTAGCAGTTAAAATAATTTAAATAATTTAGAAAGTAGCTTACAAATCCTTAATTGTATAACTCCACAGAGTAATAATAAAAATTATTTACACCTGGTGCATAAAAATATACAAGGCATGGTAGATAAAGAGCTAGAAATCGAATTGTTCTTAAATAGCAACAATATTCATGTTTTATGTGGTATTTAACATTGGTTTAAAGTTTATAACGTAATGTTTAACTTCCGTAATCACCAGGTGGTCAGTTCTTTAATAGAGAAACGGTTTTAAGAGGTGACTCGTTAATATTAGATAGTAAATTATTATCATGTAAAGAGCGTAAAGATATTGTGAGCCTCTCTGTTGAGCGAACTGTAGAAATGGCATGTGTTGAGTTTCAGCACCTTATTGTTGTGTGCGTCTACAGACCCCCATGTTCTATGTACGATACTTATGAAAAAAAATATGGAGACAGTTTTTGTTAAGCGTAATAAACAGAATAAATCTGTTGTAATATGAGGCGACTGTAATATCAATCTCCTAGAAGCTTTCTGTACCAATATTAAATTTAGATCGATGTATAAATCGTATGGTTTTTTAATTTATTTTTATAGCCAACGCGTTACTCAATCTAGTGCAACATGTATAGATAACATTTTTACAAATGTTAAGCCGTTGCATTAATCTATAATTCAAAAATTAAGTTCTGATCACTGTGTACAATTAGTTTCTTTACCTTACGTTCACAAAAAGCAAGTAGATGAGAAAGTTGTGTTAGTTCCAGTAAATGCACGTCGCCTGGAGAAGTTTAGAAGTAACATAGTGAAAAACCTTCCATCACTTTCATACCAAAATGATCCTATTTTTTTTTTGTATGGAACATTGTTTAAGCTTATTTGCAATGAATTTAATAATATTTTTACTTCTAAATCATTCTCATTGAACAGTCTGAAGGCATTCAATGAATGGGGGACAGTAGGAGTCCATAAGAGCAGACAAAGGTTATATGATCTTTACCATAAAAGGTCATATAATCCTAGCGTCGAATCTAAATTCGGGAATAAGTAAAAAAATGTTAAAAATATTCAAAAGAGTGTGCTCCACAGCCAAGTCTTTGCATTTGAGCAACAAAATTAAAACGAATTCTAATAAAATTAAAATGACGGAGTATAATTAATAGCGAAACTGGTACGATCAACTCTCGCAATTCAAACTACCAGTTAACTTTTAACAACAATTTAATTTCCGCCGAATCATTACTTAAACAAAATGTAAATGCGTGTACAAAGAATTTTACATTTCATAAAGTATTATCAAAAGATATTGTAAAATATTTTAAAACTATTGATATTAAGAAAACTGTAGATCTGTGGGGGATTTCCGTTAAAGTTACTGCGTCTATAATAGATACAATCGCGCCGCATCTAGCTTTTATTTTTAATACTAGTATCGAATCTGGTGTGTTTCCTGATTGAAGCATAGTAAAGTAATACCTTTATTTAAATCTGGTAGTACATTAGACCCCGCCAATTTTAGGCCTATTTCTATATTACCAACACTTGTAAGATTTTTGAAAAAAATGTTAAGTGTAGTAAGTATACTATGTAAGAAGTGATGCTCTTCAATTAATTATTTCATATTTAAGTAACAGAACGCAAAAAGTTGTCATTGACAATATGAGCTCTTCCGGTTCGATGGTACAAATGGGCGTGCCTCAAGGCGCAATTCTCGGCCCCTTTCTCTCTCTTGTATACATTAATGACTTACCTTACGTAGTAAGTCATTAATGTATATAGCCATAACCATATATAGTTAATAACTATGATATAGTATTATTTGCTGATGACAATTTAATTTTCAAATAAAGATGACAATTACTAAAATATGACGAAGTAAATAATGCTATATCTAAATTAGTAAATTGGTTCAACGTTAATAATTTGCGTTTAAATAGCACTAAAACGAAATGTATGAAATTCATGACTTCAATTGTCAAACAATTAAATACTAATGTAATTTTAAAAGGGGAGGAACTGAGTCTTGTCGATACCACCATTTTTTTTTGAATCACACTAGACGCGAAGCTTCAATGGATCCCCCATATATCAAACCTAGCAAGCAGACTTAGTTCTGCAGCATATGCTGTAAAAAATATTAGAAATCTTACCAGTGTTGAAACAGCTAGACTAGTTTACTTTAGCTATTTCCATAACATAATGTCGTATGGTATTTTGCTATGGGGACACGCATCTGACACTGAAATTGTATTTGTTTTATAGAAGAGGGCCATATGAGCAATTTATGAATTAAATCCTCAAGAGTCGCTGCGACAAAAATTTAAGGAAATTAATATATTAACTTTGGCCTCTTAATACTTTTATGAAAATGTAATGTACGTACACAAAAATAAAAGTAGTTTTACAAAAATAAGTGATATTCATTCTGTAAATACTAGGAACAGGCATAATCTAGTAGTAGTACAAGTTACTCGACTCCACCGAGTCAGTAATTCATTCTTGGGGCGATATATACGCTTTTACAACAATTTTCCTAAAAACATACAAAATTTTACCTGCTCAAAGTTCAAAAACTATTAAACTAAGTTTGTATAAAAAGGGTTATTATAATATTAAGGAATTTATGGATAATAATAACCCCTGGGAATAAGGTGATCGCTACCAAGCTATTTCTAATTTGTGTTGTTAATTGTATAACATACATGATTGTAAGCTATTATTTAAAAAAGTCCCGCTGGGTTTCTTACTGGTTCTTCCCTGGACAGAGGTTTTTTTCGAACCAGTGGTAATTAGACAAAAGATGACTCAATAAGTATTATTTATAATCTATATTTTTGTCTGGTAGATCTACTGTCACAAATCTGTTCTTATATGTCACCGATTTAATTGAGAACGTTGATAACAAACTACAAGTGGATGCTATATACACAGACTTCTCCAAGGCCTTTGACAAAGTAAATCACGCACTACTTGTCAATAAACTGAGAGCTTTTGATATTAATGGGACATTATTAAACTGGTGTGCATCATATCTTCAAAGTAGAGCTTCGACCGTGGTGATTGATGGGTACTCCTCGCAACCATATATTGCCTTCTCCGGTGTACCGCAAGGCTTGAACTTAGGTCCAGTATTTTTTAACATCTTTATAAACGGCATTGCTTCGATATTTCAACACTCTAAGGTCTAGCTATTTGCTGATGATCTCAACAGCCTTATTCAATCGTGTAATAACAACCAAATGTTTCAACTTGTTAAGTTTCCCAGAAAACAAAATTATATACAGAATCAATACTTAGGCGTTAAACTAGACAGCGAATTCAAATTTACCAACCATATTGATAACATAATCACCTCAGCTACTAAGTCACTGGGTTTTGTATTGAGGAATTCCAAAGAGTTTAGGCACCCCTCGACTACAATCAAACTACAGTAGTCTGGTTAGAAGTAAATTAGAATACTGCAGTCAAATTTGGAATCCGCTCTACAAAATCCATAGCATTAGAATCGAAAGAATACAAAAGCGACTGCTGCGCCATCTTGCGTACCGTTCGAATAGCTATCAAACTAATGATTCCTACGAAAGACAGTTGGCATAATTTAACATCACATCACTACAATCGCGTAGAAGTATCTAGGACATGATGTTCCTATACAAAACGCTCAATAATAGTATTGATTGTCCAGCAATAGTTCAATTATTTAACTTTAAGGTGCCATCAAGAATGCCTAGAAATCCGCACGCATTTTTCAATGTATCCCTTTATAGATCTAACTTGGGAAAGTATTCCCCTCTAGCCAGACTGGCTCGCACTTATAACGAACTGTCCTCGAAGATTTCTGGCCTCGATATTAATTGCGATAGTTTCAAATCAAATCAAAATTAATCAATTTCTATGAATTAACGAATTAATTAATTATTTATTTATAACATTGAAATTGTTTGTGATTTTTATGGTTTGATTAATATAATATAATATGACAATTAAGATATTAATAATATTGTCAAATAATTTTATTTATTTTTTATTTTGTATTTACTCAGTGATGTAATTCAGTTTTTATTCCTTACAAAATAATCAATGCATGTTGTGATTACCCATAAAAAGAAATACAATTATAATGTGTTGAATTTGTTATGAAAATGATCTTTGCATTACTGTTGTAATTTCTGTTGGTAATCCTAATAAATAAATAAATAATTTTCTGTTATACATTGAAACTTTAACGGCTTAGCACCAGGTTCCTGGTACTCACTTAAATTTCTAGGGTAAATTAAAGAAAAGTAGGCCTGCCCCCACTCTATCTACATTTACAGTCTTCAGTATTTTATGGGTGGGTATAGTATTGGGTTTATTGACAACTTTGCTCCCAGATTGACAATTTTTATGTCATGCCGCCATTTTGAGAATACAGTAAAATTTTGTAAAACCTAAATAATAATATATTTTCAGTTTATTTTATTTATGCTTTGCACATTCTACCCAAGACATTTGAAGTTAATGTACAATGCGAATCGAAATATGAATTTGACCGATTCTCGTTGGGTATACGTATGAGTGTTTATAACAGGTGGGTGCGTGGAACGCTCGCACGTACGCGGAGTCGTCTGCGCGGTGGGTGGTGCAAGCGGGCGTGCAGCGGCAGGCGGTTGCGTTCCGCAGCGGGTTCGGCGCCGTGTTCCCGCCGCGCCGACTGCGCGCCTTCTCGCCTGCCGAGCTGCGCCTGCTGCTGTGCGGCGAGCGCGGCGTCGACTGGACGCGCGACCACCTCCTGCAGTACACCGAGCCCAAACTCGGCTACACGCGCGATAGGTGACGTAACACTCTCTCTTTCTCTCCCTCTCTCTCTCTCTCTCTCACACACACACACACACACACACACGTACACACGCGTCACGCCGTCTACTCACACACCGCATCCGTTTACTCCTCCGTCTACACCGACACTACACTCCACCTACACCGACACTACACACCGCCTACACTGACACTACACACCGCCTACACCGACACTACACACCGGTACAATCGACACTACACGTCCCCTACACCGACACTACACTCCACCTACACTGACACTACACACCGCCTACACTGACACTACACACCGCCTACACCGACACTACACACCGCCTCCACCGACACTCCACTCTGCCTACACCAACAACCACACCCATACTGTATACAATAATACTTCACATTGCCTTTTTTACGCTATGAAAGGCTTCATAGGGATATCCGCCCTGCGGTTCGTTACTGGGGTACGGACTATGTTGGATTCGCACCGACTAAAACCCATTGTCAAGGACTACAGGAACGCTTTCGCACACGTGCGCGGCTCCGCCAGCGCCAGCTACACGATGCAGCCCTTCCTCGGGAGAGAACAACTCCCCCTTTTCTCCTTCTCTGGTAAGGTACGCAAGACCACTAGGCGCATCTTCTGCGCGTATTACGACAGAGCGACGCGAAAAAGCGATGCCTCGCAATACCAACACTCGCGAGAGTACAGCGTGTGGCTCATCGCCATACTAACACTCCTTTTCCCCAGCGACTCTCACCTCTGTTGCGGCGTCAAGGAAAGAGAACACCTTCTCCCCGCGCCACAATCCACCAATGCGTATTCGAGGTGGCCTAGGCAAGCCCACATCTTGAGCCAACCAATTAGGTTTATCTTTGTTTACAGTGCGTGACCTAGCCACGACAAGGTTAGAACCCGTTCGGATATCACACTCCCTACACCGACACAACACACCGACGACACCACTCAGCTTACACTGTCACACTACAACAATCCACCACTGCGCCCACGCCAACATTTCACACCTACACCACTCCGCATACACCGCCATACTACAACAACCTACTACTCCGTTCAAGTTTTGGTGGAAACTTGACCGTCGGCGTCGTTTTTGTCGTTTAAAGTGGATATTGAAATACATAATAGTGATTATAAGTGATATACGTTTTTGTGTATTAGTGGTAACGAAAAAACATGGTTATGATGGTGATAAGTGTATACCTCAAGTTATTTAGTCTGCTTTCGCTTTTTGAAAGTTTGAGATACTAAGATGCCGTCAAAATCTTCCAAAAAAAAAAAACGGCACTTATATTCTTCCGTTCCGTTACCGTGTAGTGGCGGTGTAAGAATATCCACTACCCCATATCATCCCATGGGTGTCGTAAGGGGCGACAGAGGGGAAACAAATCAGGAGATGGGCAGCAGCGTCTTTTTTTATAGGATAGGGTGACAAACGAGCACACAGTCCACCTGATGGTAAGTGCTGTGGCCCATAGACATCTACATCTATCCTCGTTTGCGAATCAAAACACCACTTCGCCTACACCGTCACAATACAACAAAATATTACTCCGCTAAACACTGACACACTTTACCGACTACTTCGGCACAATACTCTTTCTAGAGTGCATTGATATCATTTCGCTTAAACCACACTGCAAAAATACATCACTATTCCTTCAACGACATACCACCACACCACACCGCCTACAAAGGACAGCCATCGCAATATCGATACAACCATTGGTTTAAAAAGCAAAGATACGGCTCATACATTTTTGCCCGACACGTTTGCCCTGTTAGCAAAACAAGCGACATCGATTAGTACTATTTTTAATTACAATGTGATCGTTGTGGAACGTGTGAGCTGTCTAAGGATATTTTCGAAGCAAAATTATATCAGCACATCAAGGAACCGCCAAACGTTATCTCCAATCAACCTTCCAGTTAAAAAGGAAATCCTTTGAGTTTTTCAGAGTATCGTTCTATTTCAAGAGTACAAACCAAATTTTAATTGGATGGCACTTAAAGCTCTTGAATAAGACTTCTTTGCACTGTATTAAAAAGTGAAAACATAAATTACTAAGCCGTTCTTATTACTGCAATATATCACATTTATTCAAAAGCTTTTTATAATAACATAATTGAGAATAAAGTCATGTGTGTGTATGTATTCATAGCTTTAACTTAATATGGCAGGTTTAACAGAGAGCGCTTTGTAAATTGAAAAAGTTAGGGTCGTAGCTGGAGGGGCATTGTCTAGCCACTATTGTTCTATTGTCCCCGACCCTTACTGGATGCGTGGCGTTGTTTCAAGTAGGAGGTACATACATTAACACGGGACTGTAGTAATTTTAAAAGGGCGTAATGTTTTTTTTTTACGCAAACTTTTAAACACCTCATAACTGTCTTTTACCTTTTTACTTAATTAACCCCACTGGAACCTTTGTAATTAATAACATGGGCTAACATTATTATTAGCTAAAATTTAATATATTTTAAGCATAGTAAAATATTTAATTTTGTACGTAGTAGAGCCATGCTGCAGCTATATTAGTATAGTTGTAGGATGAATAGCTCTGCTCGACCGGGGAAGGACCACGCTCTCACAGAATACCAGCGTAAAATAGCAGCTTAACACTGCTATATGTTTCGTATGGTGAGTGTAGAGAACCGGATACCCTTTTTACTGGAAACGAGGCAGCCCATCTTAGTCCTCACGGGTGACAACGCATCTGCATTTTGATTCGTAAGCGAGGATAGATGTAGATGCCTATGGGCCACAGCAACCACTTACCATCAGGTGGACTGTGTGCTCGTTTGTCACCCTTAGCCTATAAAAAATATTTAGTATACATATATTTACTAAACAGTGTTGTTATTTTTTAGCTTTTGATTAATTTACCAAGTGATAGTACTCCTTTTTTGCCTCCAAGTCCTTATTAGTACCTTATTAGTAGTGGTAGTACTCTTACCTATTTCTGTCGCCAAATATCAGTGGTCGCACTGCCGTGTTCCGATCTGAAGGCTATAGAGAGCCAGTATAATTTCAGTGTCCATGGACTGAAGCACCCACTTACTATTAAGTGGTCTATAATTTCGTTTGTCACATACTAACCTTCGCACTACTTTGACAGTGGACTTTACATGATCATCATCATTATCATAACAGGCCTTTACAAGTCCACTGCTGAACGTAGGCCTCCCCCAAGGAATGCCACAAAGCATTGTCCTGAGCCACCGGCATCCATCGACTTTCTGCATATCTTACCAGATCGTCACTCCATCTGGTGGGGGACGCCCTACACAGACAGGGGGGCGTTATATCCCCGAAACTCTTCACCGCTGCATTGGAAGACGTCTTGATGCTACTGTACTGGAAATAATTCGGTATTAACATAAATGGCGAGTACATCACCCACCTTCGATTTGCCGACGATGTAGTCCTTATGGCAGAATCGTTGGAGGACCTAAGCACTGCTCAATGACCTCAATAGTGTCTCCCAACGGATAAGTCTTAAGATGAACATGGACAAAACAAAGATCATGTGTAACGTCCATGTCACACTTATCCCGGTAGTTGGAAGCATTAAGCTCGAAGTTATTGACGAGTATGTTTACCTACGACAAATAATCCGACTAGGTAAGTCCGATTTCGGTCAATAGACGGATTAAACTCGGCTGAGCAGCGTTCGGGAAATTACGACACATCTTCTCGTCAGGTATACCTCAAAACCTGAAAACGAGATTGTACGACCAGTGCGTGTTGCCAGTGATGATTTATGGATCTGAGACGTAGTCCTTCAGTGCTGGTCGTATGAGGAAGCTCAAGATTGCTCAGCGAGCTATGGAGGGGGCTATGCTCGGGGTTTCTCTGCGTGATAAACTTAAAAATGAGGATATCCGCAGTAGAACCAGAGTAGCCCAACATAGCCCAACGGATTAGTAGGATTAGTGGTGGCAATGAGCCGGCCATATAGCTCGAAGAACCGACAACCGATGAGGAAGGAAGGTTCCCGAGTGGCAGCCTCGTACCGGCAGGCAAAGTGTTCTGGACTTTTAATAGAATGTAATTCAAGGAGAAATCTGTCATATTTATGTGTGTTGTGTTATCTAGTCATAAAGTGTAAGGATTTCAATCAATCTTTTAACTGTTTTGTTTATGTACCTTGTTTTTATAAAAATATTTTAAAATCTAAGTATCTAGGTATTAGTTCAATTTACCGTCATGACGGTCAAACGATAAAGGTATGTTGGGAGTATGTTCGAATGGGAAATTGCAGCCCCGGGTTCCTGCGGCTGGTGGAGGTGCTGGTGGAGATGTCGGTGCGCGAGCGCAAGGCGTTCCTGCAGTTCGCGACCGGCTGCAGCAGCCTGCCGCCCGGCGGCCTCGCCAACCTGCACCCGCGGCTCACCGTCGTGCGCAAGGTATTGAATACACTCTCGTTACCAATTAAGCAAAAAGCTTGAGGATCACCTCAGAAAACAACATTTAATGATAATAATGTCCTCGGGATCGAATTTCGGTCACGGCGGCTCCTCTCATCGGAAACTAGCATGCGCTGTATTTTAGTGTAAAAGTGTATGCAGCACAGGTGCAATCTCTATTTCCTCATCCGCTGTCAGTCCAATGGAACGGTAATCCGACATGACTGGAGCGAGATCAGGCGCAGGAATAATGACTTTACCTACTTTTCGAGGCACGGACGTGAAACACTGCCAACTTCCTGACTCCAGGCTGTTACTGAGAATTTCTTTACAGAAAAACTCATTGATTTTAAGACTCGAGCCGGGTCAGCTCGGGCAGTCACGTTCACATCCACTGGAGGAACGAGTCAGTCAACAGTTATTGCGCATTATACAACAAATGACGAATTATGATAATGAAAAACAATCCTTTTCGATCGGGTCGAGCACCCAAAGTTTAGGTTGTTTAGAATGTAAAAAAACCATAATGAACATATCGCAATGTCATAGTTCATGGGAAATAGTTATTATTAGCTTTATAAATGATATACAAGGAACATACTTTAATACATGATATTCAATTCTATAAAAAGGAAACAATTTTATTTTATTTGTATAAAAATATACATTTATACTTGGTAGAGCCATACTGCAGCTGTATTAGTAGTATAGTTGTAGCACGAATGGGTCGGCTCGACCGGGTAAGGACCACGCTCTCACAGAATACCAGCGTGAAATAGCAGCTTAACACTGCTGTGTTTCGTATGGTGAGTGTAGATAACCGGAGACCCTTTTTACTGGAAAGGAGGCATTCCATCTTAGTCCTCACGGGTTACAACGCATCTGCATTTTGATTCTTTATTGAGGATAGATTTAGATGTCTATGGTTCACAGCAACCACTTACCATCAGGTGGACTGTGTGCTCGTTTGTCACCCTATCCTATAAAAAAAAACATACCTACACGTTCTAAAATTTTGAGGCTCCCCTAAGGCTAAAGTCGCATCTGGCTTAGGAGTCAGTTTGGACTACTACTTAGTGCAGGTAACTACTGTTGTGTTAAAAGGTATGGAAATTCTAAATAGTTAGCCTGTGAGGCAGTTCTTCTTCGTCCTCAAGAGGTGCACACTAAGTTATCACACTGACTTGAGAGAACTGTCGCTACCGTTATTTGAATGTTATCTTGGCAGTTTTGAAATCTGCGAAAATATAATTATGGCAAAAGGCTTCTACGGTCACTACAAATGCCATTTTATTGCATTTGTTTTTTTATTCAGAGTGCATTGACAACATCACCAGCTTTATTGGTATACGAATGCACCCACAACCATAAATTTCTTGAAAGATTTCTCCAAACTCAGCACGTTCGATAAGACGGGCTTGCAGAGAACACACGTACTGGTTATGCTTCTATCACTCACCAGAATGAAATATGTGTTCATCATTTTCGGATTGATTTTCCGATCAGTCGGTCGCCTGAATCTTACACGTTAAATTGCTTGGCCTGACACTTGGATAAAAGTGGACATATTATCTCTGCGTTACACCACGTACAGTTTATGTTAATTTTCGGTATTATTGTTTCGAAGGTTGATGCTGGCGATGGTTCATACCCATCCGTGAATACATGCGTGCACTACCTAAAATTGCCCGAGTACTCTTGCAAGGAAGTGCTTCGTGAAAGGCTGCTAGCTGCGACCAACGAGCGTGGCTTCCATCTTAACTAATTTAAACATAAACGCGTTTATATTGTGAATCAATAATTAGCTTATTAAATACTATAGAGCTGTCATTTATAAAATAAAAGAGATTGTCCAAAGGAGAAAAACTAAATTAGTTTTTTGCTACCTAAGTAACAAATATCCCTGCTTACTGAAGTTTGAATCACTTATTTTATGTATAATACCTCTATGAGAGACACAGGCTGCAATAAAAAGCATAATTAAAATAAACATGCACATCTCATATTTGCTCTTTATAACTATAGTCATTTTATATCTTATTAAAATTCTTTAATGTAAATTTAAGGTTATGCAATGAAAAGCAAAACGAAAAATATTATACATTTCGTAGCTTGCTCGACATAAAAGTGGCGTATTTTTATGAAGTGTAGATTGAAATATAACCGTATAATTATGGTCGAGGTTTTATATACTCTTAAGTTAACAAATATTTTAACTATTACATAATACTTTAAGCGTAATTTACATGTGTCCGAAAGAAATTGTACATTTGCTATTATTTCAGATTTAATTACATGTGGGCAAAATAATGGCCTATGTTGAAAATTAATAAATTTTTCTTGTGATCATTTACTTTTGTGATTCATCTATTTGCAATATATGGCGTGACCTGAAAAATTATTAATTAAGGTTCTATTTAGTTCACTTCAAATTTAGAAAAACTAAACTATATTGTAAGTTATTATATTGAGAGGCTTTCGTGCATTGTATATTGGAGTTTTAAATGTAACATTCTATCGTCGTCATTTAAGTGATTTATTAAAATCAAATAAAATAAAATATATGAAAATACATAACATATAATCATAGTACATGAATACTACAATCCTCAAGTATGAAATTAAAAAAAATCTTCAAATTCATAAAAAAATTGTACCAACTCTTTTAACTGGGTACATTATATTATTCTGATACATTACAATTATTTTCGGAGATGCCTTCGCTTGAATAATGATGTTATGAAATTATTTTTAATAATATAGGTACATTAATTTATAATAAGGGAAAAAAGTTTGATATATATTATAAAAATAAATTTTCAAAAGTGTAATAAAAATTTCGCAGATATTTTTGTAAATTGTCTATGCCCTCTACAAAAATCATTATATGCATGCTGATTGCTACATTTATCATAAAGAAATATTGGAAAATGATGTATAAAGGCGTTCAATTTTTTTATTAATGGTAAAGTCTAAATGATTTTTTTCACACGTCCTAATTTATTAGGACTGAATTAAAATATTTTGATTTAAGGTGTGTAACACCCGTTGTACGAACAAGGGTTAGCATTATGTTCCTTTAGTTAGATTTGCAACTGAAAGTTGTTGATGTGATTTATTATATAAAATCTAATATGAATTTAATTAAAATTAGTGGTAACAAGTAATGATAAGATATTTTAATTAACTTTTAACAGCTTAGCATCTTGTAGTATTCCAGTATTTGTTGTTGAGGATTGTATCAATAAATTAGGCAAAAAATATAACGTTGTTTTATTTGAACTTCAATACTTTAACTTCTCACTTTTAAGTCGCTATTTTATTGTTTAATAAATGTTATAAGTAATAAATAGTAGCACTAAATAAATAATATGTAGGTACGCAAAATCCTGCACGTACTGCAATATATATTCATCTCGGTTTTGTCAATTCGTATAACATGTATAATGAGATGAAATCGAATTGCTGTCCGGATGAGAGGTCAGTTGAAGGTCCAACAGGGAAAGTGCATTGTGGGACCTATAAAGGCACCCATAGACGCGGGAATGGTCGTCGCTGTATATGCGGAGTCAAAGGATGGACGGTTCCCGGCTTTCAGGAATAGTGAGAACGGATATCCTCTCTGACGTAAGTACAAACTCGCCCGAGGCGCAATAGAGTGTTTCAATTCGTAACCCTGGACAAGATAAATACGGATAAATAAGACGAATAAGAGGACAACTGTGAGATATTCACGGTGAATATGAGAGGGAGTGCCTTAATCATTTGCTGCGTTTGTCTCGAGTAGGTAGTATGCCATGGACGTTTAAATAAGGCGGACTGAATCTCGCTATACAACTCGGCGAGGCACCCAAAATAAGTCAGCTTACTTGTACGTACAAGGGGTCACACACACATTCACACTAATAATAAGTTTCGTACCCGCCATAACGCAACAAACGTCGTCCGCGAAAAGTAGGTAGTTGTCGTAAGTAAAAACAAAAGTCAATATGCCGTCTTGCGTCGTTAAATTTTGTAAAAATCATAGTGCTTTTATCAAAAAAACATCAAGGAATCACCTTTCATAGGTGAGTCAGTAATTACAATCACTGAGAATTTTATGTCTTAAATTAAAATGTTATTTTTTGTACACAAAACATGAGTCACGTGATCAGTGTTGTTAATTATTTAAAGGGTAAATTACCCGAAATTTGGGAAATTGCTATTTTTACCCACGTTGGCATGGATACGATATATATGTTTGCCCAACAACCTCTTAAGGTTATGTGCACTTTTTTTTACAATTTTCCTGAAAAATTACCCGATCCATTATAATGCAGTTTTATGCATTTTTGGCCACAGTCCATTATGTTGCACTGTAATCGTGATTTTAATTTTTTACTATGTTACCATTTCTTGAAAATTTGACCGATTATAATACGGTTAAGAAGGAAATTTAATGTATGTATTTGTATTTATGTATGTACATTCTGTAAATACTAGGAACACGCACAATTGTTATACCAGTTAATCGTCTCAAAAGAGTCAGTAATTATTTCATGGAGCAATACGCTTTCACAACAAAGTCCCATTAAATATGCAGGCCTTATCTATGAAAATGAAAAAAATTACCAAGCAAAAATGGTTTAGTAAGGATTATTAGGGTATACTACTAAAGAGTACATGATTGATAATAACCCCTGAGAATAAGGTGATCGCTACTATGCTGTTTCTAAATGTTTTCATACCAATTCTAAAATAATATATTGTAAATTAATTTTATATTAATTTTTGGCTTGGTTATGTTTATTTGTTATATATTTCGTTAACAAATATTTATCAATATATTTCGTTCCAATTATATAATACAATTTTTGTATAATATAATGTTTGTAATAAAATTAATTTAAATCGAAATTGATTGAAATAGAATAATTCGATTTCAATCAAAATCTAAATCTTAAATTGTTAGATTTTTTTAAAATCGTCAAATGTGTTATTTATATCAGTTACGTAATAATAAATTAGTATTTCGTCATAGTTATGTTATATTATGACAGATTGTTTTATAAAAAAAAAAAATACGAAAACATACTTGCACTGCCGCCATGACACTGCATCAGTCCTTTCTTAACAAAATTCTGTCCGCCTTATTTATACGTCCATGTAGTATTCGTACAGATCGGAGCCATCCCCCCCCCCCTCCAAATACGCGGGGCAACCTAAGCATCTACGCTTAAAAATAATTGGATGGCTTGGACGTGCATGTCCAGTGAGGAACGCAGTGTCCTAGAGAAGATCTTTCTTTAAGACTCACCATGTTGTTAGGGGGATGGGTCACCTAATGATGTCGATGGTGAGACGTAAAAATATTTGTTCTTAACGCCAGCGCCTGATTTAGAGTTTTGACAGCCCTAGGCTAACTATGAATATGGGCCCCCTCCACGGTCTGTTCTGCCTGTGCCTACCTAGCCTACGAATATATATACTAGATTTTTAACCAGATGGAAGTTAGCGTAGAACATTATTTTTTTTAACTAAACTGTATGCCAATTAATTGCTCCATGAATGCTCCAGCAGTATGCGAAATTGCTCCACCTCTATTGTCATTAGTTAATTTATAATTCATTTAAAAAAAATTTAAGTATCGATATTTTAATTTTGCTATAAAACAATCTATCTACTTTTTAAAATTAAACTGTATAGCAATTAATTGCTCCTTAAATGCTCCAGCAGTATCCGAAATTGCTCCACCTGTATTGCTATTAGTTAATTTAGAATTAATTTAAAAAAAAAATAGAAGTATCGAAAATTTAATTTTGCCATAACGCATAAAATATCTACTTTTTAAAATTAAACTGTATGTCAATTAATTGCTCCTTAAATGCTCCAGTAGAATCCGTAATTTTTCTATGTCTATTGCTATTAATTAATTTATAATTAATTTTGAGATAGAGTGATCCCATTTAAGTAATGGCGCCATCATCTATAGAATGTAGTAACATTCTATAGTTATTCATTTTATCGAACAAAAATTGATTGACTCTCAAGGTGGTACGTAGAATAGATGCCTAATGACAAAATAATATTGATGGGTGAGTTTTGAAATAATGGATTTTTATGAATGGATTAGACAACCATGTTAATAATTATTTTGGTGTTTATGCCATGTCGGGGGTGTGTCTGGTTGTTTGTTAAGAATGTTGAATTGATAACGTCCGAAATAGTAAAAAATCACTTTATTTAAAACGGTTACAAAAATGTTAATAAATTGTTGTGAATGCACCAACCACTGTTGCGTAACGAAAGTGCACTAAACAGATTGGCGGCACAGTGCCAATTGCTGACAAAGGTGTTCGTTTTCACTGAACATATTCCCGGGGGATGAAGATAACATGAAACAATTAATTAAAATAATTAAGAAACACATATTATAAAGATTCATCACTGAACACTAATTTAGGGAACGCAACGCGCGATTTCACATCTCGTTTTCCAGAAATGTTCATGTCCACCTTCTGAATACCCTGCTGTGATGTGGAGATGCTGGTTCACGGCGCAGGATGAGGGCGAGGGCCGCGCTGCTCTTCCGTTGTCGGGTCTACATTATTGTTCCAACTCCGTCGCACCTTACGCTATACTGCTACCACACCCACCAGAAGTATAAAACCGAAGATGCAGTACAGCTTTATGTTGTTTATCCATAATTCCCTCCAACCGTTTCAGATATTATGTAGTTGTATTCGGATTCCACCACAGATGTCTGATTGATCCACAACCTTTTAA